AATTTTGTTCGCGGCGTTGTTGAAAAAAGGGTGTTATCCAAAATAGGGAATTCGTGTGCAAAAGCTCCTACTGATGGTGGCGCATAGATGGAGATGCACTTTGGCTTGGACAACCTTTTTTAATTCCTACTCACAGCTTCCCGACCCCTCTTAAAGTGCCACCAATATGTTTGGCATGATTATGCATACAAAATTCATGTATGTATGAGTCTATGTGTATAACGGTTAAAAGTCGTTGCGGTAAACTTGTCAAATGCATCAGTGAACAGTAACGTAAACGATTTATAACACAACAAGCACATATACACATAAACTTGTATGCATTATGGTTTTTCTAAGAACCCCAACGAATGGTTTGTTTATGAGTGCAATATGTTTGTATGTCAACACACAACTCACTGTACTCGTACGTTTTCCGGTTCATTCAGGCGTGCAATTTGGCAATTCTAAAAATTTACTCTGCTTCTTCAAACACCGCGGGAAGTATTTTGATTTCTTTCTTTTTCATTTTTATTTTTATATATTCTTAGTAAGCCAAAAACTGCAATGAAATTTCTATTTTTGCCTTTACTAAGAAGACTTGGCAATGCGACAATTATCACGAGAATTTTCCACGTGACAAATTCATAACACTGCAAAAAGGTAACTGCAAAAATCACTCCCTTTACTCAACAAATAAATAAATAAATAAATAAATAAATAAAAAGCACCTTCAATAAATATTACATATTTCACCACATTCGCTTTCAAAAATGACAAGTTGACGGTTAAGGTTTATATCAAATAATGGCTATAAAGAAGTAGAAAGTGTTATTTTGATAAAAAAAAATTGTGTACAAATTCACAATAATAGAATTAAAATTAATTAAATTATATTAAGTAAAAACTTTAAGTGAAAGAGGCGAAAGAGCTGCATTCCTTTAAAGTCAAAATATAAGTTAAGTAGAAAAATTCTGTTAAAAAATGTCTATTTGCCCTATAATTTTGGAGCAAAGTAGTCTTTTTAATATTTTTTTTTTTTTGCGCCGCACAGTGCCGTTATCAGCTGGCTTTTTTTGGCATTATTGGAAAGCTAGTTAATGCAGTGCTGAGAATTCAATAAAAATTTGCACTCACAATTATTTGTATTCTGCTAAAGAACACGAAAATCAATATTTTTTGCCCAAAATATCAGGTAAAGAATAATCAGACTTAATTCCTTTAACGGGAAAATATTTTAAAAATACATTTTTTTATAGTAAAGGGTTGATGTTGTATTTTTTATACACTAAAATTTGTTTTGAAATCAAAAGCATTAATAAACATACCGACAGCCTAAGGCATAGGGTAACCCAAAAAGAGCAAATTTTTTTTTAAATTCTTGAAAATTGGAATTTATTTTGAACTAAATAAAAATATATGTAAGATGGCGCACTTTTTTATTATTATATTTTGTTTTAAGCTATGATTTATGAATGAAATATATATATGTATATAAAAAAGGTAAAACAACAATCTAGTTATCACATAGTGGAAATTAATGTATGAAATATAAAAGGTCAGAGTTAGACTTAGACTTGGTTACTGCAGAAACCTCTCAATAGGTTACTTCAGCCTTTCAAGTGTATTTACGGCATAAAATAAAGGCTCCTCATAAAAATGTGTGGGCGGGTTAGAATAATTGGAGGAGGAGCTCGACTAAAAAATGGTTTATTTATACGATATATGAATATATATATCAATTATATTATTATATAATATAAACGTCTATTGCTTCATAAATAACTTACTCTGTTTAACAAGGATTTTGTCATATGAACTTTTTGATGATGATGATTTTTACATTTTGTTTTAATGAAATTCAATTTTTTGTGACACCTATGTGTTCATTTCTGACTTCATAACTAAATACAAACTTGGCAATATCTGAACTTATCTTTGGCCGAAAGATCTATCCAACATAGTGCCAAACTGCCAAGCGGTAATCGATCAGATAGGCCGAATAAGGACACAAGTTATGAACCGTGAACTTAAAGATAAAAGACTTTTGAAGGGAAACTAAAAGACCAGGCTTGCTTGGCTATGTTCTATGCATCTTGACCAGAACTTCCTTCGAAATTTAAACTTGGAAGATATAAGGAATTCATAAAATAGCTTCTTAACAAAGATTTTGAGTGTAATATAACATGAAATATAGCTAAGCTGAACTCTGATTTAGATATATTTCGGGAGAGATTGGCTGCTGTGAGTGGAAACTATGATCAGAGGTTTCGTCTATCTTTACTATAACGTTAATAGCAAATGCAAGGGAAATGGAGCAGATTATTGTTTTAGACTTATACGGGGCTAACCAAATGCCAAATATTCCCCCAAAAGAGTTTTTATTTCGTATCCTTTTGTGTATGTTTTGGTATACAGATGTTTTGTTGTCAAATGTACATATATATTTTTTCAGCGATATATTATTATACGGCTACCCTAATGCAGCCAAAATGTGATATGAGTGAGATTTCAAGAGAAAAGTTTCAATTTCAGCGTAATTAAAAATTAACGCGGTTTTAAAATAAAATTAAATATTCATAATAAATGAATCAGCGACCTTTGACCTACAAGTGAATGTTCTATTTGCTAGATAATGAAATTTCTATATGTACGTATAGAACTTCTATACAATATAACGATTAAATATAATTAATATAATACAATAGGTGTAGTAAACACAAATCCATTATTTTTGCGTAAAGTTTAATAAATTATTTTTTTCACTTCGTATCCTGCCTTATTTCAAAGGTTCCAAACGGTATTTTATGTAATCTTTAGCTCTTGAGCAATCGAAACTGTGCTTAAATGACGTTCAGACTCAATAATGGATCGTGGAGATCGACATTTTCGAAAATTAGCCTTCCACTCGGTGAAGCACATCAAGAATACCGGAATAAAACCGAAATTGTGAATGATTGACTAAAGCTGCACCAGAAACATAGACGCTATTCACATTATCAGCCGCCTAACTTTCGTTTTCGATCTTATCGAAGAATATCTGTAAAGTAAACACAAAACAGTCAGAAGAGCTTATTTAGTGCGAACTGTGATCTTTTTTATCCCAACTCGTGGATCGGACCCGATCGAACTCCTACAACGCGATAACGCTATAGCTATCTATTGGAAAGATAATGGATTTCTTTTTACTACATCCAATACTAAGTTGAATGAACTTCTTATCTTCAACGATTAAGACTAATACAATTTCAATGATCTCAATCTTTATCATCTTAAACCTTTTATGACGCGAGCTGACTGTAGAACTGTAATAAAGCAATGGCCGTTGGAACAGAAATCATTTCGTAGTAAATGTGAATAATATTTATATGAAAATGCGCAACATAAGCTCCAGGCATAAGCGTTGTGGAATTTTATGCTTAAGCCAAGTGCTCGTAATAGAAAGAAATTAAAAACCAAATGAATAAGACAGCATTTTTTTTTTGGTCTACGACCGACTTTTCGCAAAAAAAAAACTTCCTAAGTACAAATCTAAGGCTATTAGTTATCAATAAAAAATTTTGGAATTTTCCTGTCTAGAAAATAATATTAATGTATTTATTGGCATTACCTAAATATCCTTAAGAAGACAGAAGTGGCATGTCCCTGGCTAGGATTCTAGTATTCCAATTGAAAAAAATTATACAAAATATACATATATAAGCAGAAAACAATGATTGCACTTGCTCTATCTACATACTCTTTATTTTCATATAGACTTTGTATGGACATATATAAGTGCTTGAAGTAAACAACATTTATATGCACATTTAAAACAAAGTGATAGCGTAATTGTACTTCATGATCCATGTGCGACACCGTTACCCTGCAAACATTTATGTACCATTGGCGTATCTACTGGAGTACTCTATTGTAATGCGGCAATGGATCAACTCATGTCTTGATAACATTATGTTGTGAGACATTTGTTGCGCGTATCTTAGCGTACGCAATCGCTACTCGTTGGTCTTTGGTGAGATCTGCTGGTACACAGAAAACTTCCACAAGTTTGGGCTAATATATGCCACAGGAAATATAACAATTATCCAAACTAAAAAATGTATATCACAGATTTTTTACTATCAATATAATAAATAAATATCTGATAAATAATATGCTTTCCTAGATTTTCGCCAAAACGGCTTGTATTCTAATGTAGAAAATATGTTTGAATGCAATTTTACGTAGATGCGCCACAGTGTAATCCTCTGAAAGTACTTCAGATTAGTCTTAGTGTAGAAGTTTCAAAACTTATTTTTTTACACACACTCCGTAAAGTATTGTATTACCACGTTATACAGAAGAATATCGCTCAGCCCTAGGATATCGGACTGTAAATTGTAAACCCCATTTTTAGCGACTGTGGTTAGTTTTGAAGTTCTTTATATTCCATTTGGAGTATATATTTCATGCACGCATAGTAGTCTCCGCGTTTGTCGCTGGGTAATCGAAGACCCCTCATTTACACTTTTGATATGAAAATAGCACATTGTGAGCTATTTTATAGAATAATATTTAGTACTCAACCGACTGTTGTTTGACGACGAACATTTTCTTCAAAACTCGAAATTTTCATATTCGCATTGTCAGATGTGTTCCTTTTTTTCTTTTAAATAAATTTAAAATAAATCTCTTATAAAATCTGTTTATAATTGCAAAAAAAAAATTAAAAATAAAATTAAAAATACTTGAAAAAACTTTTCCAAAATGGTGGATGTTTCACTGCCTTTCATGCATTTAATGCAAATGGGTGTAAAGTATGTGTGCTTGAATTTCAGAATGGTATTTTAAGTCAAAGTTCATTCAAAAAGCAAAGTGATTTTGAGTTCATTAAAAAAAGGCAAAATTATATAAAATTTAAATTAGTAAAGGTTTTTGAAACAAAAAATTTATAATTTAAATAAAAGCTAAATTAATAAATTTTTCTACAAAAAAAGTTGTATACTGTACATCATACAATGCAAAAAAATAATTCTCAATCTTTATATCTAAATACGAAATTAGTTGTTCTGGAAACTGAAATTAATAAATATAAAAATTACATTTTATTATTACAAACAATGAAACCAGTTTTTCTCTATAATAGTCAACACAGCTGTCTTTGAATCCACTCCGTGGAATTAATTGTGGTGTAAAACGAACTTTGTATTCATAGTCTATCTGGAAATAACACTTCACTATATGCATTAAGTTCAGAATAAATCGCAATTGTGGCAAGTAAGGAATATTAAGCTCGAGCGGAACCGAATATTAGATACTCGTCTGATATTTATATTAAATGCTCTGCGTTATCTGACTTTCACAGAAAGAATGATGTTTAATTTTTAAACAGATATTTGAAAGTGACTATAAATTAGTATCCTTCAAACAGTTTGACCCGAATTTTTTTGAGCTTTCATATTTTTATGTACTCTCTGCCCATACTACAGAGTTGTTCCAACAGTTATTTTAGTGTGCTGGACGAAAACATTCATGACCCCAGGAGCAACTTGGTAAAGTAAATTTGCGAAATCTGAGTTGGGTTATGAAATTTTTGGCGGTCGGGCCAGAGTGTGAGGATTTGTAAAATTAAATTTTAATAGAATAAATAGCACGCCAGTATGCAGCCTTAAACACGTTCGATATTTAGATCAATTGGTTCACTGCATTCTAAACAACTTTTATATTTTATAGTATTTTTTTATTTATTCAGAACTGATGACTCCATTACAATTCTCTGACCTTTCATAAAATTTCTCTAAAAAATGAATTACATCTTAAGCACTTGAGCTTGACTAGAATTTACTTTCATTAAGTGATTCAAGATCACCGTATTGACTTAACGAGATTGGCATATCATCGACATTGAAAAGAAATATACATATATTTTATAAGATTTTTTCATGCACAGTTAATTGTTTATATCTATATATATAAATATTTACCCCATTAACAAACATACTTGTAGAATGCTTACCCACCGCATACAACAGTATCAAAGCGCAACAAATGAGACAGTCGTTACGCCAACTAAGTATGGAAAAATTAAGGGCATTAAGCGTAAGTCAATTTACAATCATAATTTTTACGCTTTCGAGGGTGTACCGTATGCCAAACCTCCAATCGGTGAATTACGCTTTCGAGCGCCACAACCGCCTGAACCCTGGACGGGTGTGCGTGATTGTACCAGCATGGGTAATATACCGTTACAGAGACATTTTGTGCTCGGTATCACGCATGGCACCGAGGATTGTTTGTATTTGAATGTATATGCAAAACAGGTGAGAAATATTTCAACTTTCAATCGAAAAAATTATAATTATTTAGAATTTTATATACAACGATTTTCGTTTTTTTTTAATTAGATCTACTTGCAATTTAATTGCATAATAGAGACAATTATTTAAATTAAAACTTTCAACATTGTCAAAGTCATTTAGCGAAACGTCTGCCATCGTCACTGGCTCCAGTTGCTGTCCGCTTATTTTATTACAACTGACAGTATGCAAGCAAGAGAAGCGGTCCGCTCGAAATCTCTGTTTTCTCTGGACATTTCTAATCAGATCATAAATCTGCTTTCTACATAAATACGCCTAGGTCTTGAACTATTGTGCAGTAACTGTATCTTCTTCTTCAGTGAAGTAGACACCACTTACGCGATTACAGCCGCCATTCTCTTAGATGTTTGGCGCCATTTTGAAATACCAAGTTAATCCAGGTCGATCCCCAATCGAGGATTTTAACGGAGTAGAGGTCTTCCTCTTATTCAGGCTGTACTAGAGGGTACTGCAGCGAATGCTTTCAAATCAAGAGCGCTTTAATTTATACGGGCCATATGACTTTCGCTGGTCTCTTTCTTTCTCTAACTACAAATAACGCGCCCTCAGGCAACTCCTCTTTTGAAATTGTTGGAAACCAATTGTCTATCTAGCACATGCTGCTTGACAAGTACTCCAATATGCCGTTTATATCGAGTTGCTGATGAACGATCTCAGTGAGAGCAAAGTAAGGAAGTCACACAGAAGACCTCGGAGCGTATGCACATCTGGAATACCATCTAACTACTCTAGAGATCGCTGCGATATTTTTGAGCTTGAATTTAACTTAATACATTTTTCTTGTGCTGGAATGCAGAATGCAGTACCAGAAACAACCGTACTTCGAGTCCGAATAAAATTGATCAGATCACGTTAGGAAATGTTTCGTCCCTAACATTAAAATTACGAGCATATTTTTGACATTTTGCCGAAGTAACCCTCTCCTTTGGTGCAAATCAGTGATATATAATGAAGAACTTTTTTTGATACACCTTTCCCCTAGAATGGAGTGGATGATGAAACACCGAAGAATTCGCCTTATTTCGCCCTTTTCTCGTTGAACGCACTTCCCGAACGGTCATGATGACGAACCGGCTGAGCGGCAGCACCTTTTCAATTACGCAAATCTAGATCCATGCTCTCAAGCCCTCATCTTTGTAATGTATTCAGTAATCGTCCTCAAAACTTAAGTATCTCATGATTGTAGTTTTTGTTCGATTAGTTCCTTGTGTGAGGCCCAAACTCTGCGCATAACCCACAGGGTCACTTCAGCTCGGAGTTCGGAAGATAATTGATTATCCATAAGTTACATAGGTATGACCAGTTGTATTAAACATGTTTCACTAACTTCGTTGCAGTTGAAGAGCGACCAGCCCCTACCGGTAATGGTATGGATCTACGGAGGTGGCTTTACGATTGGTGAAGCTTCTCGTGATATTTATGCGCCTGATTATTTCATGGAGAGAGACGTTGTTCTAGTCACATTAAATTACAGAGTGGGTGCTTTAGGTGAGTGTTTATTAAAAAAAAAATAACGATTCTACTAACTCGAGTCCTTCAACCAAATTTACTATCAGGTTTCCTATCACTAAATGATCCCGAACTCAATGTGCCTGGAAATGCCGGCTTGAAGGATCAGTTACTTGCGCTGCGTTGGGTGCAAGAGAATATAGCCAATTTCAACGGTGATCCGAATAATATAACTCTGTTTGGAGAAAGTGCTGGTGCCGCTTCCATACACTTTCTTATGCTTGCACCAAAAGCGCAAGGAGTTTTCCACAAAGCCATATTACAATCGGGTACTGCGATTTCTTGTTGGGCTGAACAGGAACCGGCAAATAGGGCATATTGGCTCGCAGTGGAACTCGGATATCGGGGCGAAAATATTGATAAAGAAGTGCTAAATTTTCTCAGGAAAGTCAGCGGCTCAAAAATAATTAAAGTTCGCAACGAATTGCGACAGCCGCATGAAAAAGAAGAACGAATTTATTTTCCTTTCACACCGGTGGTAGAACCTTATGAAAGCGAAGATGGGCTGCTAGTAAAGCCTTTCATAAAATTACTGGCTACAGCGTGGGGTAATGAAATTCCAATAGTGATAGGCTCCACTGCGGATGAGGGACTCCTACATTACCCTGAGACCGTTAATTGCCCGAATTTGGTAAGTGAACTGGACGATTGTGTGGCGGTTTTGCCGAAAGCATTAAAAACGGAGTATGACGTGGAAAAACTTAAAGAGTGCGCACTAAAAATTAAGAGAGCACATTTCGGTGACACACAACCGCACTACAATCAAACACTCACACAATATATAGAGGTATGTTTAAAGTACATTCGATAAACATATTTCCAGCAAAAACTTATCTCCTTCAATTCTTTGCCTTTTGCAGCTGTTAAGCTACAGACACATGTTGAGTGATATATATCGCATAATCTTGGCGAGAGCCGCATATGCATCGAATATGCCCACATATCTATACCGTTTTGCCTTCGATTCACCACATTTCAATCATTTTCGCATACTCAAATGCGGAAAGTCAGTGCGTGGTGCGTGCCATGGTGATGATATCTCTTATTTCTTCTACAACATCAACGCCGAAAAACTGCCGGTCGATAGCCACGAATACCTGACTATCCAACGTATGATTGGTATGTGGACGGCGTTTGCTGCGACGGGCAATCCCAATTGTAAGGAAATCGAAACGGTTCAATGGCTGCCGGTTGATGAGAAGGAGGCCGAGAATGCCATGCCGAAATGCTTAAATATTGGCCAAGAGGTGGAGTTTATTAGTACTCCATTCGATAAACTTAAAATCTGGAGTAGTCTTTACAACAGCAATAATATATTTTAGATAACATTTATGCAGTTAATTACGATTTTTTTATTTTTCATAATGGCAAGTGCAACTCGAATAGTTTAGAAAAAATTTTAGTTACTAAACAAATATGTATTCAATCGTTTTCCTGAATATTTTTTAGTTGTACTGATATTTTAGTCGGGTTCGTTTCACAAGCTGCTATCTAGCATATCACAGTGCTGATCCGGGGGAAAAAATAATTCAAAATGAATGTGTATTGGAAATAATTAAAGGCTAAAGACCAACGAGTATATCATATTCTATTGACTTGAAAAGTTTTTTGCTGGAATTGGCAGCTCTCATATGGGTTATTCATACTCTTCAAAAATCTGTAAAAAAAATTTCGGCCGACCGAACGGCTGATGGTTTTTTACGGAGAGCATTGATTTTATGTCAGAAATACTTTCGAAGGGGTTGACATTCCCAGCCAAGGGGCGACCGCAGTTAGCAAATTTGACTAATTTTTTTATTTAAATTGATTTCCTATAACTTGTGGATGTTGTTCGCACCGTGATATGAACTCGAGCCTTCCGTATGGCAGTAAGCAATGTTTACCACTCGGCTACCATGGCCGCCGATTATCAGATTATTGACTTTTAAAATCTACTAAGCTTACACCGCTAAAATTGTTACACATGTGAATTTGGGCCCGAATACCCTTTATGAACTTCGAATAGCAATTGGACAAAGCAACATAGGGCCCTTATAAGTTTTTCTTCTTCTTCTTCTTCTTATAAATATTTTAGTGGGGCCGAGTTTTATATTCACTGAAGTAATTTTTCCCTCTTTGCGGTTTTGCGTCTTGACGTTTTTTCCGAAATCAAAGGAGAAACGTACATTTAATTCTAAGTCGCCTCCGAACGATGAATGAATTTTGATGAGGACCTTTTATTTTATGTCAGTATCAAAGAGGAATGGATTGATATTCTCTGCAAGGGAAAACTTGTGAATCTTTGTATAATAATAAGCAACGACTAATGCAGATTGGTCAAAACTATTCCTCTTTTCACCGACTGGCGCCCATTGCTTCCACCGGAGGGTACTGTATCGAATATTATTTACTGCAATATTTTAATCGTCGTACATCTTCATCGATTGGGGTTTCAAGTTTCTCTAGAATGTTTCTTCAAAATGTTTAATATTAGTGCTCCCTAGTACACTCTGGATATTGGCCATCAGATCAGTACTTTGCGCCCAATATGAGTATGTTCCAGTCTTGAAATTATATTTAAGTAATCGCACATTCTCATGGATTGTTTGTACATTCCCCTGTCGGCCAGTCTAACGAGCTCTGCATACGTTCGGCCTTTCACTTTTTGTCTGTAAAAGGTTTCCGCTGCCCTTTTCAAAACTCAGTACCGTTTTTATAAAGTTAAAATATCAGTCCCACGCGCAATGCATTTGCACTCCACTTATTTCGATCTGTCTCGAAGTTGTAGAGTAGCAAAGTATTAATATTTAGACACACGTCTTTTTCTCATCGGGACATGGATGCAATTCATTGATATAATATGTAGAAAAACCGCGAAATAAACGACGCTACTTTGCAGCAGAGTCTCGTCCTTTTATAGGGCCACAGTAGTATGTGTCATCAGGATTTATTATTTTCCAACTTTTGTTCTCTGTCCTATCGCATCGCGCCTCTGGATACTAACAAACAAGTCCACCAGCTGAGCAGCAAGAGGTCTGACTTACTTTGATCTCGGCGCTGCTAATTACGAAAGTATGTATGTCACTGACCTTACGCACTAAATTTCTTTTGTATGAGAATACCCGGAATAAGTTTTAGATAAAGATATCAAACAAATAAATACATAATTGTTGATAGCAGAGAGCACATGTTCGTAGTGGATCTCTTTATCTTGCATTTCTTCCACTCTTTTCTCTCTCTTTATTCTCTCTCTTTTCTTTTTCTTCTTTCACCTTTTCTGGTGCTACATTGATGAGTACTATAAATGGAAACAAAAGTTTATGCGCAGCAAAACAAAATTGATAAAGATACAGGAAAAGCAACTCACCACAATGCAATAGAGAAACAATTTTTAAATGCAATGTGTACACAAAAAAAAAGAATAAATAAAAATGAAACACTTTAAACCGGTATTCTCCTAAATATACAATGATATAGTCACTCTCAAGCAAACGCAGCTGAGTACTGTCGCTATGATGAGCTATGAACTAGTCGCGTATTGTACTTCCTAGCGTGTGGTTGCATTTAATATCGGAATACGAAAACAAAATTATATTTTGCATTAGATAACGAAAACAAAAGCGATAAAAAATATTCTTTCACTTCAGTAATAGTTCAAAAAGCCCTATTATCTGATAGATTATATTTAAAAGGAACATAACGGAAATCAGTTTGAAGTAATTAAAAGAGACAAGGGGAACGTGTTTGTTGTGTATCGTAAACATGTCGAATTAGTACGTATTGCTTAGAATTTATTTTTGAAGCGTTTTAATGAATGCAAACTTATTTCATATTCAAGTTCTACAGGCACCGCAGTGTTAGTGCATACAACACAGGGTACTGTCAAAGGTCAATGCAACACAAGCGTTTACGATGATGTCTACTACAGTTTTGAAAGTATACCTTTCGCTCAGCCACCTCTAGGTGCATTGCGTTTCAAAGCACCCGTGCGCGCCTCCCCCTGGCCAGGTGTGTTGGATTGCACACAAAAGGCTAAAAAGCCACTACAAAAACATCCACGTACAAATGAAATTGAAGGCGATGAAGATTGCTTATATTTAAATATATATGCGAAAAAGGTAAGTATTGTAGTAAACACTTGAGATCGATAAGATTTGGTTTATTTGGACATACCCTTTATATTTAACTAAGTGAACGAAAGGTACAATAGTTTTGATTTTTGTAGATATCTATTGTACTAAACTTCCCAGTCTTTAGAAGATCATTAAAAATATATATGGATATCACGACTATAAGTCTTAATTATTACGAAATGACTCTTATTAATGACGTCTTAAAGATGACTTTCTAAACTTCTAGTGAGAAATGATTCGATACTCTTTAGAAGCGACTATATATTTATTATAAGCGGGCTCGGGATGGCTAATTGAACCATTTGAGTAAACCATCCATACAATTTTAATATTTTTCTTAATTAATTTTTGAACCCATAACCAAAGTTACAAATTATCGGAATTATCGTAAACGTCTGAATTAGATAGTCTAATGATAGAAACCAACAGCTGATTAGCATTATTAAAAGTTGATGGTCGCCTTCCTTGACCTGTAATACAGGCAAAAAAAAGTAACTGTCTGAAGTTTTTATTTTCGTAATAATCGGGTTTTATTAGTGCAGTGTAAATCTTTTGAATTATCGTTGATCTCATAAAGGACTGGCGTTGTCTGTTTGATGTGTAATCTAATTAAGTTGTAGATATTTTCCTTTAATTATTTATTAATTATAATTGTGTTGAAATTCAAACAAGAATAATTCCTGTTCTTTGGACTGAGTAGATTATTGAAATGAAAAGTCCTCTCTCAGCTGACACCCTACAAGATCTACGATTTTGCCGAACAGTGCTGCTTACTAATCTCAAATATATATGAATATAAATAGAATACAACGAAAATTTGGCTAACTAGCTGATACCACTGTCGAAGCTGTCACCATTGATTGCCTTAGATCGTCCAGCACCTCTATGTATTGCTTAAAAGAGTTGAAGTCTGCAACGTGCGGATAGTGGATAGAAAGAACAAAATGTTACTTGTATTAAGCGAAAGAGAACTAAGCATTCTTATGGATGTATTTGTGATGCACCTACCCTCAGTAACCTCTTTATAAGCTATCTAAATTGAAATCGTCTTTGTGCAGAAACGCTGGAGCACTACCTTTGAGAATTTCCCGTACCCGATGCTCCCAGATCCAATCTCACGAAGATGGCTGGAAAAAAAAACTTAAACAATTTTTAAAACCAAGCAAAATATAATACTTGCAAGCGCTTAGTTGGGTTACAGGGGGAGCCTAATGCGTCTGATTATTGGTTAAGGTGCGTCCGCTTGCGGTCAGGCTCTCAACTTCTCCCTTGGACCTTTTCGAAGGTTGACTCAATTATATGTACTTCCTTCATGTGTATTTACTTTGACTTTATCCTACTTAAAATTTTATTTGCCTCAAACGAATTTGGTATAATTTTAAAAACTTTCTACTGATGTTTGAATATACATAGATGTGTATGTACATATTACTTTTATTTCAAAAGAAGAAATATTAAAAATGCTCATCTCATTCCGAACAGGCATTCTATATTTTCAAATTAAAAGTCAATTAAAAAGTTCGAAACAACATTGAATATATGACTATTTAACACGCGATCATTAGAATAGAAAAAATAAAGGGATATTCAGTTTTTTGCTTAGAAAACTGTTAATAAAATGCAGGTTTTCATGAACATCTTTTTTTATAAAATTTCTTTTTTATAAATTTTATTCTTTAGTTGTTAAGCGATCCATCTGCTAAAAGCTTGACACTGTGTTTTTGGAACCTCGAAATGAATAATCCTATATTGGAGCGCGTGTCATATATCAAGAATGTTGACTTTGAAATCGTTTTCATTAGGTGAGCGATTAGAATGCCAACAAATATTTTTATAAATAATAGAAAAACACGTTGTTGTTAAATTTTGCGACAAGCTAACAGCTACTCTCTCTTTTCTTAAAGTCGAGCGCACCTTTGTGTCCATCTTTTATAGTTAGTAAATTTGTTTCGATACAAGGGGTCTACAATTCCAGTAAGAATCAAAAAAATTCATAGCCTGAAAATTATTAAATGCCTTTCTTTAATTTGAAAAACATTAAACTTTTAACTTTCAGATTCCTTTATTTTTTGAGGTTTTCATTCTTTTCAATGCGGACATTTTTTTAATAATAATTTTTTTTTGCTAACTAAAACAGCTGAAATCCGAAAAACCGCTACCAGTTATGGTCTTCCTTTATGGCGGTGGCTTTGAAAAAGGCGATCCGACGCGTGATCTACATGGACCGGACTATTTTATGATGAAGGATGTAATACTAGTCACAATTGCCTATAGACTTGGACCGTTGGGTGAGTATTTATTAAGAGAACACATGTTGCCATTTTAGATACAAAAACATGTGTATAGGTTGCTGCAATATTATATTGCTCGTGATATAGAAGATGCAACGGAAACAACCAATTATTTACATATGTACAGTTGATTATACGTTAACTCAGTTTGTTTTTTGCTGTATCATTGTTATTGTTATTCGAATGTGCGATGATGTTATCGATACATTGAGAGAATTGCATTACCTTTAAATTTTCTGTTTATGCTTCTGCTCGAAGAGTACAGACTGTAGATCATGATTTTCAGTTTAGAGAGCCAAAATGTATGTATATATGTAGGTAAAATATTTAACTTGCAGTCGTTGATTCAAAATCACTTCGAGAAAAATTTTTTATGAATTGAGCCGATTTGTAAGCATGGAAAATAGTTGAAATGTAAATAGTTAAACGTTAATTGATTTTTGTATTTAGTTATTGCGCTCGTCTTGTTTGAAATCTCTCATTATGAATTGAAACAGTTCGTCGAGCTAGTTATTAGATACGTGGCAGGTTTCCAAGCCCGCGCACAGCTGCTGCCGAACAGACCGAAGTAACTCCATTGGAACTTGCTCCTTTTTAGTAGGGTGGCGCACGGATCGGTAGCCGGATTGTCTAAAAGGGGGGCTTACTTTTCTAATGCCCAAGGATCTTGACCTAGAAAATACTATGAGCTCCAAAACTGAAAACGGAAGGTATAATTTTCTGTAATGGAGTACAGCTGCCGTACGCTGATGATATTCACATAATTGGCCCCACCGTTGGTTCCACTGGCTTGGAACTACATATATAAAGAAACAGAGCCCATAGATCTGGGACAAAATTAACCTTAATATGTCATGTCATTAAAGAGACATTCAAAACGCCTGCGATCAGGCCCACGTCACTGTTTGACAGTTATAACTCTGAAGTCGTTGACATTTTCGGAACGTTCCCGTTCCCTGATTTAATTCTTCCTACCTACGATGTACAGAACCCATAAACTGATGAATCACTCTCAATCCTAATATTGTACATAGAACAAAAAGTATTTCACAATTTATTCTTACGTTTCGTACGTTTTTTTCCTAGGTTTCCTCAGTTTAACTGATCCCACAGTTGGCGCACCTGGTAATGCTGGCCTTAAAGACCAACTACTTGGCTTACAATGGGTAAAGGAGAATATAAGTGAATTTAACGGTGATTCACACAACATAACACTCTTCGGCGAGAGTGCTGGTGCCGCTTCCACACATTACATGATGCTCACACCGCTGGCAAAGGGACTATTTCACAAGGCTATACTCATGTCTGGCACTGTTCTCTGTCCATGGGCACTATCACCGTTGAAGAACTTACCACAACGTTTGGCACAAGTAAATGGCTACACTGGCAATGGTGACGATGAAAGTGTACTTGAGTATCTGCAGAAATTACCTGCTGAAGAACTGGTGCGACCATATATACTTACAAAAGAGGAGAACATGGATGATTGTCTATTTGCTTTCGGACCAGTTATTGAGCCGTACTTATCGGCAATGTGTATTGTGCCAAAACATCCGGCTGCCATGTTTGCTGACGCCTGGGGCAACGATATACCCATCATAATGAGTGGCACCTCCTTCGAGGGTCTATTGATGTTTGCGCGTGTGCACATGGCACCATATCTGCTGCATGAATTGAATGAAAATCATCAACATATGTTGCCGTTGGAATTGAAACAGAAACATGATATTGAGAAGCAAAAAGAGCTGGCGGCCAAAGTGAGAGAAGCACATTTTGCTGAAAAAGAATTGCGTATGGAACATTTATTAAATTATTGTGAGGTGAGTTTGCGGCCGGCGGAAAGTTTTTTGTTTTTTTTTTATTTGTTTCACTCAAAAATTTTTCCATTCTATTTTTGATAGTATGCTTCTTATAAAGTATTCTGGCATCCTATACTCCGAACAATAAAGGCACGCCTACGCTATGCCCACGCTCCCACCTATCTATATCGTTTCGATTTTGATTCGCCACACTTTAATCACCAACGTATCGGCTATTGCGGCAAGGATGTGCGCGGCGTTTCACATGTGGATGATCATTCATATCTTTTCTACGGTGATTTTGCTTGGAAGCTAGAGAAAGATACTCCAGAATTTCGCACGATTCAGCGGAAAATTGACATTTGGACATCGTTTGCAGAGAATTCAGATCCGAACTGTGAAAATCTTGGTGGAAACCAGTGGGCACCACTGCAGGTGGATGGAAAATTGCATTGTTTAAATGTGAGCCACGATTTGGCAGTTATCGAACTTCCGGAGGTGCACAAATTGCAAATATGGGACAGCTTATACGAGGTGGCAGAGGAATGATAACCAATATAAAGTTTGGAGAAATTCATAATGTGATTGGCTTCATAACACAGTATTTTCTGAAAAAGAATTTTTTTACAACATTTGTAATTAAAATACATATTTTTAAAATCAGAGAACGTTTATTAATATTTTTTATAACTGAGCTTTAAATTTGTTTAGATATGGTATATATTGAATGAGTGCATTAGTTCGTGCCCGATTCCGCTGGATGCCGTTCTAATCGTTTGAGAGTGGCGCTCGTGAAAGAAATATATACATATTATTTATCGTTGGAAAGGTGACAGTCCGAACTGTTAATCAAGCATAAAATAACTTAATTTTGATTTGAGTTGCTTAGTGAAAAGACGCATAGAAGATGGACAACGAAAAAGATCATATGCGTCATATTATGTTATGCGAATTCCGCAAAGGAAAAACAGTAGACGCTGCAACTAAAGATATTCGCGAAGTTTATTTGGACCGTGCTCCAGCACTCCGCACAGTAAAGAAATGGTTCGCGAAATTTCGTTCTGGAGATTTTAACCTCGAAGATCAACCTCGCAGTGGACGGCCTTCTGAGCTTGATGACGATGTTCTAAGGACTTTAGTTGCGAATAACTCACGTATTTCGACGGAAGAGGTTGCCAGTGAATTGAACGTCAACAAATCAACTGCGTTTCGTCGTTTAAAAAAGGTTGGGTACACTTTGAAGCTCGATACATGGGTGCCACATCAGTTGAGTGAAAAAAACAAAGTGGACCGTATGTCAACAGCAATTTCTTTGCTTCGACGGATCAAAAACGAACCTTTTTTGGATCGGCTCGTGACTGGTGATGAAAAATGGATCCTGTACAACAATGTTCAACGCAAAAGAACATGGAAACAGGCACACGAAGGGGCGGAACCGATGTCGAAAGGTGGATTGCATCCGATGAAGGTACTGCTGTGCATTTGGTGGGATATCCGAGGCGTGATCTATTTTGAGCTCTTGCCAGCTGGAGAAACGATCACTGCCAACAAGTATTGTCAGCAATTGGTCGAATTGAAGAAAGCAATTGATGAAAAACGTCCGATTTTGGCCAATCGCAAAGGAGTTCTTTTCCATCATGACAACGCCAGGCCACATGTTGCAAAACCGACCCTGGCCAAACTGAAGGAGATGAATTGGGAAATCATGCCGCATCCCCCATATTCACCCGACATTGCACCTTCTGATTATCATTTGTTTCGATCGCTGCAGAACAATTTGAATGGAAAAAAATTTAAAAATGTGGAAGACGTCAAAAACCACCTTGACACCTTTTTCAACGAGAAACCGCGCGATTTCTATGAATCAGGCATCCGCAAATTGGTTGAATGTTGGGAGTGGATTGCCGAACATGATGGCGAATACATAATTGATTAATAAAAGCGCTTTCTTCAAAAAATTCCAATTTTAGTTTGCACTTGAGATCGGGCACGAACTTATGCACTCATCCAATATATGGTATTAGTATCAGGTTAAAGTGTGGATAACTCAGCGGCTAATATTTATGTAATGCAGACTTTCTTAGTTGATTTCAGTAAGAATAGCTTTCCTTTCTTTTCTTTGAATAATGAATTCAATTCAGTCCCCGATCTGATATTAGCTATTCATCCCAACTCTCATGGTTTCGAAATACCAACGCCCAAGACCGCTACCAGCTCGGCAGATGGACCTGTACTTGAACCCAATGACAAGTGAAGTTTTGAATTTGAAGACAAAAGTAGTCCGAAAATTTTTTGGTGTGATGAGCTGGTTATTCATTAAGAGTATTTAAACTTCCCAAAAATGATGATGAGTTGCTATTCGAGGAGTGTTTTTCACATGGTTTAGATATCGTAAATGTAGTTCTCTCCTATTCTATCCAAGATATGATAAACTTATGTTAGATCTCATACGACTCAGCACAATGATGATATTTACATATAGAGTTACAGGTTCGTTACTGAAGGATATGCTTTCTGAACGAACAATTATGTGCCCTACTACAGATTGGCCACACAAAATGCTACTCTAAAGTCGTTTTCGGTGGGACAGTTCTTGTTATACATATGAGTACATAAAGATTGCCTGTAAAAATCCAGTAATTTTGCCATTTAAAATGCAATAATCATAAACAACGCATGTAAAAGATGGAGGATTTCTAGTATGCAAAAAATGGTCTGCGAACTCTTGCTTTCTTACGTTTATTGTAAATAGACTTAAAACTTCTTAAATAGGCAGAAGTCATCAGAATAATTTCACGTAAAATTAAATAAATATGAGATAATACAGTTATGCATGCATACACATATACATATATGCAAATCTCACATATATACAACCCCAGCAAAGTTATAAATGGTCAAATTCGTAAAAGAGTTTAAGAAAATATTTCCTACCAGTTATCAGAACGTATGGGTTCGGTGTAAGTACGCTTGAATAAATTATTCCAGAAAATAATTCAATATTTACAATTTCAGTATTCTTAAACTTGTTCATCAACCAGTAATTTCGACCACACACGGTAAGGTGAGAGGTCAGTTGCGTGTAGGTATCTATGGTGACACTTACTATAGCTACGATGGCATTCCTTATGCGAAACCGCCGCTCGGTGAATTACGTTTTAAGTCGCCGCAACCACCAGAGCCCTGGGTGGATGTACGTGACTGTACCAAATGTCCACCCAAATGCATACAAGCAAATCGTTATACTGGCGTGATTGAAGGCTCTGAAGATTGTTTGTATTTGAGTCTGTATGCCAAAAAGGTGAGCATGTTACGCAAATTCGAATACATAGTAATAAAAAAGTAAACAGGTCAATAATGCCAGAAATTTATTTATTGATTTTAATGCGCAAATATTCTGACGAATAAAACGCCGTTAATGAAATATTTATTGTCTTATTTTTTATTTTATTTCTTTATAATATTTTCTTTTATATTATTTTAATTGACTATATAATATTTTATCTATTTTATTTTATCCTATTTTATTTACTTTATTTCATTTTTTTTTATTTATTTTATTTAATTTTACATTTTTATTTTATTTAATTTTTTTATTTTATTTTATTTTGTCTTATTTTATTTATTTTTTTTTACTTTATATTATATAATTTTAATTTATTTATTTTATATCATATTTTTTTTAATTTATTTAAGTTTATTTTGTGTTATTTTATTTACCTTTTTTTAATTTAATGTAGATTATTTTATTTTAATTTACTTTAATTTAATTTATTTTATTTTATGTTTTTTTTTTATTTTATAACATACTATTTTTTTTATTTTATTACTTCATTTTATTTTTTATATTTCACTTTACTTTATTCTTATTTCATTTAATTATTTTTATATTATTTTATTTTATTTTTATATTTTATTTTATATTTGTTTTAATCTGTTTTATATCATTTTTTTATAAATTTTTTATTTTTTACTTTATTTTATTTCATTTTATTTATTTAAAATAAATAATTAAAATAAAAAAAAAATTTATATTTTTATTTTTCACTTTACTTTTTTTAATTTTAGTCTTATTTACCTTTTTTATTTTATTTTATATATTTCATTTAATTATTTTTATTTTATTTTATTTTATAATATTTTATTTTGTTTTGTTCTATTTTATATCATTTTTTAATTCATTTTTTTAATTTATTTTGCTTTTTTTTTATTTTATTTACTTTATTTTATTTTATTATATTTTATATTACTTTTGGTATACTTTATTATAACTTTATATCATTAAACAAATTATCTTATTTTTGTTGTATGTACAATAATAATAAACAATAGCTACACTCTGAAGCTCTCCTACCGGTCATAGTTTATTTGATTGGTGGACGTTTCACAACTGGCGATCCGTCTCGTTCTACTTGGGGTCCAGATTACATTATGATGAAAGATGTAATTTTTATTAGCATTGGATTTCGTATGGGTGCATTAGGTGAGTAATCATAAATATCCACTAACCTAGTTCTAAAACTTGAAACGTATTTCTGATATACACGTATTTCGGCCTCAGCATGTGCACGTACGAACAAGCGCGATAATTATTTATCAATTTAAACCTCATAACTTTATTCCTTCTAATTTATTTAAAGCACAAACCCATATTTCTTAGGCTTTCTTAGCTTTGCCGACCCAGAACTTCAGGTGCCGGGCAATGCAGGACTGAAAGATATTTTATTGGCATTACAATGGGTTAAGAAAAATTGTGCTCATTTTAACGGTGATCCCAATAACATTACCCTTTTTGGACACAGCTCAGGCAGTGGCGCTGCACAAATACTCATGCACTTGCCGCAATGTAAAACACTCTTTCATAAAGTCATCCTAATGTCTGGCACGCAAATGCATATACGGAAAATACCCAAAGTGGAGTACCGCTTTGCAAAGCACTTGGGCTATAATGGTGAAGACGATAATCGCGCAATTCTGGCATATCTCAACTCACTGCCAGCTGAACGATTATGCGACCTACAAATATTTACACCCGAGGAACTGGAGGAAGGACATTTATTTGTATTCTCACTTGTAATTGAAGATGAGCGTGTGCCAGACGCTGTCATCACAAAAGATCCACTTATTTTGTTCGCTAATAAGCAAGCATGGTGTAACGGTATACCAATAATAATGGGCGGAAATTCCTTTGAGTCTCTCATGCACTATAAATATTACACTAAGCAACCAAAATTATATGAAACGCTCAAGCGTCATCCAGAATATCTGATTTCACATGAGATCAGAGATAAATGCAGTTTGTCGCAACAACAAATGTTAGCAAGGAAGATTATTAATTTACATTTGGGCGCGAATGAGTTGTGTGCAAAACATGTATTTGATGTTCTGCGGGTAAGTGAATACATAACTCTAATAAAGTATTGATTTTCAAAACTTTTAAATCTCTTTAGTTGTGCTCCTACGATTTTATATACCATCCCATACATCGTTACCTTAGATACCGCATGGCTAGTGCCAGTGCGTCGACATATCTCTATCGCTTCGACTATGATTCCCTTAATTTTAATTTATACCGCATTAAGCATTGCGGACGTGAAGTCCGTGGCGTTTCGCATGTTGATGAATTATCATATATTTTCTACACGCCTGATTCCTTTAAACTAACACAGGATTCAAAAGAGTTTCAGATTATTAAGTACATGATTGACTGGATTAGTGCTTTTGCTTTGAATTCTAATCCTAACGCTGTTGGCAATCAGGATATTGTATGGGAACCACTGTCATTAAACGGCATACGCTATTGTCTCAATATTAGCGATGAGATCAGTTTTATGGAGTGGCCAGAGCTGGAAAATTGCATACTGTGGGATCAATATCTCAAAGAAGCGGATTTCAAAATCTATTAGGCAAGTCCTTGTTTTAAAAGGAATTTCTGAGAAAACTAAAAAGTGGTGCGCATGCAGGAAAAAAACTAAGGCTTTCGACTTCAATACCATCACCACTATGCTCTGCGGCTATTCTTGAAAAAAAATAGGAATAAAATTATAACCTTTAAAACTTTTAGTAAACCGAGATACTGTTCATGGAAATTCTTTACAAAACATAAGTTTTTATTGAGAATATTAATAAAATAATTACCATTCTCTTTGTGGAACGTTTTTATTTATATACTTTTATTGTTGTTGTTGTTGTTGTCGTTGTAGCGGAAGTGGCTGTGCTTGAACGAATAAAAATCTCGATCGTTTCAGTATAAAGACCAGACCATCCCGGGTACTGTCAGATATTATTCCCTTCTAACGAAATTTTTGAACCCTCATCACGATTCTATTATGCTCGCCAAGAGAGAATTTTTTTGAGCGTTTGAAGGTATAAATTGTAAAAAGAAATTAGAAAAAAAATTGGTGTAAATAAAATAAGCAGATATAAGATAATCTTATCTTGAATATCGGAATACACATAACACAGTTTTTGAAAAATTAGTGTTGATTGAAAAGGTCTCAAAGAAAATGGCTCTACGGTTTTCAAGCATTTCAAAACAACAACGTACGATATTATAAATTCCAGCGTATCTGACAAGTTCGAGGTAGGAGAGTAATAATATTAACAATAAAAATGTGTGTACATATATACATATGTATAGGCACAAATAATAATGTACTTTAGTGTTACCATATCTCATCACTATATGTACGAGTATAATTCCTTTTTAATAAATATCACGAATAATAAAAATGTAAAACAACTTATCACAGCCTCTTGGACTGCGTGCTGATAACAATCAAAATGAAGTGTTTGTACAAGTAATTGCATTCATATGCAAAAACGTAGTGCTATGAAATAGTTATAAGTTTGCAATCGGTGTGAAAAGTTGCTTTTAAATATTATGGGTGAACAGTAAGTACATCTATATATTGATACATATATTAATTCATTGTAAGTCATTTTCTTTTAAATTCATATATACTTAAATATTTTTGCTTTTATTTATTTGATTTCATAATTTTTTAATTTTTTATTTATTTTGCTGTATTTACCACAAACAACAACAATGACGGTAATATTAGTCAGCTGATAATTTCCACTACACACGGCCTTGTGCGCGGTCAACTACGTGAAACAGTTTATGGTGATAAATTTTATTGTTTCGACGGTATACCTTATGCCAAGCCTCCGTTGGGGGAATTGCGCTTTAAATCGCCGCAGCCAGCGGAGCACTGGGTCGGAGTGCGGGACTGTACTGAGGTTGCGCCCAAATGTATACAATACAATCGCTACACAGATCGTGTTGAGGGTTCCGAAGATTGTCTGTTCTTAAATATTTATGCAAAAAAGGTGTGGTAAACATGTAATATACGCACTTATGAGTGCACATTAACGTATTCAATTTAAAATAGCTTGAGACTGAAAACCCTTTACCAGTTATGGTATACATACATGGTGGTGGCTTCGCAACTGGCACTGCCTCTCGTCGTAATTGGGGCCCGGATTATTTTATGATGAAAGATGTGATATTAGTAACTATAGGTTACCGATTAGGACCTCTTGGTAAGTTCACAGATATTAAATGCTTTAAGAAATTAGTAAAAAAAACGTATGAGATATAAGTAGACATGAATTAGCATGTAGATATGATATTTAATCTATGCGATCATTTCCACGCAAGGAAAATATTATTGAAAATGACCGAGAAATAGTCACTTAACTAGTCTTCTTCTTCTTCTTCTTCTTCCTATTCTTCTTCTTCTTCCTATTCCTTTGACAGCTCATAAGATTCTTATATTTTCTCTCATTAATTTCGACATATTGTATAAAAATAACTTTAAATGGAATAAATACTTCATTCTTCTGTTTTTGAATTTTTGTATAATAATTTTTATTAATTAAAACACCTGTGACCTACATAGTTTGCCCTAGAAATAAATTTAAAAAAATCCGAATGTGGTTATCTGTTTTAATTCATTTTGTTATATTTCATTCTTTCAATTTATCTTATTTTATAACTTACTTTAATTTAAATTTCAAATAAATTTTATTTTATTTTATTTTATTTTATTTTATTTTATTTTATTTTATTTTATTTTATTTTATTTTATTTTATTTTATTTTATTTTATTTTATTTTATTTTATTTTATTTTATTTTATTTTATTTTATTTTATTTTATTTTATTTTATTTTATTTTATTTTATTTTATTTTATTTTATTTTATTTTATTTTATTTTATTTTATTTTATTTTATTTTATTTTATTTTATTTTATTTTATTTTATTTTATTTTATTTTATTTTATTTTATTTTATTTTATTTTATTTTATTTTATTTTATTTTATTTTATTTTATTTTATTTTATTTTATTTTATTTTATTTTATTTTATTTTATTTTATTTTATTTTATTTTATTTTATTTTATTTTATTTTATTTTATTTTATTTTATTTTATTTTATTTTATTTTATTTTATTTTATTTTATTTTATTTTATTTTATTTTATTTTATTTTATTTTATTTTATTTTATTTTATTTTATTTTATTTTATTTTATTTTATTTTATTTTATTTTATTTTATTTTATTTTATTTTATTTTATTTTATTTTATTTTATTTTATTTTATTTTATTTTATTTTATTTTATTTTATTTTATTTTATTTTATTTTATTTTATTTTATTTTATTTTATTTTATTTTATTTTATTTTATTTTATTTTATTTTATTTTATTTTATTTTATTTTATTTTATTTTATTTTATTTTATTTTATTTTATTTTATTTTATTTTATTTTATTTTATTTTATTTTATTTTATTTTATTTTATTTTATTTTATTTTATTTTATTTTATTTTATTTTATTTTATTTTATTTTATTTTATTTTATTTTATTTTATTTTATTTTATTTTATTTTATTTTATTTTATTTTATTTTATTTTATTTTATTTTATTTTATTTTATTTTATTTTATTTTATTTTATTTTATTTTATTTTATTTTATTTTATTTTATTTTATTTTATTTTATTTTATTTTATTTTATTTTATTTTATTTTATTTTATTTTATTTTATTTTATTTTTTTTATTTAATTTATTCTGTTTCATTATATTTAATTAAACAATTAAAAAAAAAATTTTTTAATAATTATTTCTTTTTAATAAAATTTTTAACTTGGTTCATGTTATTCAAATGAATAGTTGTTTTTTATTTATTTTAATGTTATTCAATATTAGCATTACATTTGTACTACTACTGTTTTTTCCTTTTTTTATTTATTAGATTTTATTAGTTAATTATTCTTTTCGATGTAGGGTTTCTGAAATTTTCCGATCCTAATCTTCAGGTACCAGGAAATGCTGGACTGAAAGATATCGTAATGGCGTTAAAATGGCTAAAACAAAACTATGTGAACTTCAATGGCGATCCCAATAATGTTACGCTCTTTGGTCACAGCGCTGGAAGTTGTGCCACGCATGTGCTTATATCTACACCACATTGTGAGGGTCTCTTTCATAAAGCTATATTATTGTCCGGCTTGATAATGCATACAGAAGAATTACCCAATCTACGATTTCGTTACGCGAAACATCTTGGTTATGAGGGCGTGGATGATGATGAGCAAATTTTTAATTATTTGAATTCCTTAGAAGCGGAAAAGCTTTGTGATTTAAAGTTTTTAACACAGGAAGAAAAGTATCAAGGTTTCTCGTATATTTTTTATCCTTCATTGGAGAGCACCAATTCTCCCGATGCAATAATTACGAAAGATCCCTTCGATACATTCGCTGAAATTGATAATTGGTCTCATGAAACGCCACTAATGTTAGGATGTACCTCTTTTGAGTCCCTGCTGCGCTATAATTTCTTCACAACCGATCCCGTGATATACGATAAATTCAAAATACATCCAGAATATTTACTTTCTAGCGAAATACTACTTAAATGTGATTTAGAGACAAAACAAAAATTAGCGAATAAACTGATCAAACTACATTTAGGCGAAAGAGAATTGCAAATGGAAGATGCACTTGATATTATACATGTAAGTATGCACTTAATCCAATGGGTGCTCTTGCTAAAAGTTTATTCCATTTCTTTCACTCATTACAGTTGGTCTCATACGATACCTTTTACCATCCTACCCATCGGTATTTAAACACCAGACTCAAACGTGCGAAGGTACCCACCTATCTTTACCGTTTCGATTTTGATTCGCCTGACTTTAACTTATATCGCATTAAACAATGTGGACGTGGGGTGCGCGGCGTAGCCCATGTGGACGATCTCTCCTACATTTTCTATATGCCGGAATCATACAAGTTACCGCGTGATTCCGAGGAGTTTCACACCATCGAACTCATGATGGATTTATTTATTGCGTTCGCTACCAAATCCAATCCCAATGTTGATTGCATAAAGCCAACTGTTTGGGAACCGCTGGCAGCAAATGGTGTACGAAAATGTTTGAATATTAGTAATGAAATTAGTTTTATTGATTGGCCTGAGCTGGAAAAATGCAAGGAATTGGACAAGTATTTTGAAGAAGCGGGCCTTAGAATAGTTTGAAAAGGATTATGTTACATATACTCGTATGTAAATTTGAACAGTTTTTAGATTATCGTATTATTTCCACATGAAATACAACTTAATTTATTAATCAATAAAATAAAAATAAAATTATTTCTTATGGTTTGGTCATCTGAGTGGTGGAAGCATATAAATTACAGACTTCCGTAGTATTATGCTGTTCTGAAAATAAAAATCAGTGACAGGTTACTTCATAACATCTGTTCTGGGATATTGGGTTATGTGGTGGCAAATGTGGTATTCAGGTACTAGTTTGCTCACAACATGACAACCCGACATACTCTCTAGATCGGTTTCAAATTTTATGGGTATATGTATATGTTATACCTCTGCTGCCTACATACTTCTGAAATGGCTTACAATATCTAATTTTTCTTAAGAGGGCGATTATTGTAATGAAACCTTTCTGGTTTGATACAGACTCAGTTTATGAATTTTTATGAAAAACGGTTATGACATAAAAAATATTTCCGAAGAGGCTGATTATTTCGTATGATTTCCGACATAAAAACAAACGGCTATTTTTTAATTAAAATAATATACATTTATATTTTATCTTCGATTATCAACCAGCTATGAAAAGGAACTTAATAAAAATTCCACTACTCAATTTCGACTTAGATCTGCATACCACGGAATCACTGTTCCCCAGCGTTAACTCTCTCATAGCGTTCGAAATTGTTTTAGTTACTAATAAAGCTCAAAACAGTTTGGTGTTCATGCTACAGCCGCAGAGTTACGCAGACTAAAGAGAACAGAAGTTTAGGCCACTGTATTATATATATATAATATGCTGGTATCTCTCTCACTGGAAGTACAAGTAAACACAACAATAAAAGCAAAACAAATACTTCTCTCCCATGATCGTGTAATGCTCAATTACCAGTACTCTGAGGGTCAATGTGCTCGCGATCAGTGAAAAGCTTAGATAGTAGTAGTTTTCGCTCTAGTCCTAAGCACTCTTCTATTTCTGTTAATGAACACAGGCATGCATAGATATTTATGTATCCATCGCGATGGCATTATTTATTGGGTACGTATTTGTGTGGATCTTTTTATGCACTCGTATTGTGCGCGTGTTTTCATTCAATGTTTTGTGGGTTTCTCATTTCTTCAAAGCAGCTAGTATTTTTTATGTCATCCAAATTGACGGTTGTTATTGTTCAATTCATTCAACGTTGGCATCTTTCTAGTCTACTAATTTGGGAAATTTAGTATTTTTTAAAATAAAAATTATTGAAAAGCATAAATATTGTTCAATAAAATTTCGTATAATAAAAAGCTTAGCATTCGAGTTTATTCGCGGTAGCAATATGCGAGGGAATCTGAGTAATTGCTTGTGAAATTCCGAAGTCTAATAAATGAACGCGGACACGAAAAAAAATAAAAATAAATAAATATATAAACACAGAACGAATATGGAGAGCACAGCAAGCGTAAAGTATGTAAACTCAGAAACGGTTAAAAGTGTCAAAAATGTGATAAACATTCATATACATGTATACATATGTACATATATGTACATTTGTTCAAAATTTAAACAACAGTTTTAAAATATATCTTGCATTTTCAGTGATGAAACAGAATGTCGTATTAATTTCCCGTTGGGCGAAATTCGAGGCAGACAGTGCAAGTCGATTTACGACCATGCATATTTCAGTTTTGAGGGTATACCATACGCTCAACCGCCTTTGGGTGAGCTACGTTTCCGGGCCCCAGAACCTATAACACCATGGAAGGGTGTCAAAGACTGTACGAAGTGCGCAAGTAAACCTTTACAACAAAATCCCTTCAATGAGAGTATAGAAGGTTCCGAAGATTGTCTTTACTTAAATGTTTATACGAAACGGGTAATGAAAAGAAAAAAATTTAACATTCATTGAAGAGGAACTGTATCATGTATGTACATAAAAATTTGTATGTCACAGCTAAAATCAGAACAACCACTACCTGTTATGGTATTCATTTACGGTGGTTCGTTTCGTTCGGGTGAGGCGCGCAGAGAAAGCTATGGTCCTGACTATTTTATGCATGACGATATAGTGCTGGTCACTTTTAATTATCGTGTATGCGCTTTAGGTAAGTCCCCATAGCTTTTTTCATTCAAATGTGCTTAATTCTCTTGTCACTTCTTCTAGGGTTTCTCAGCTTCGCTGATCCTGCTTTAAAAATACCCGGCAATGCTGGGCTCAAAGATCAAGTACTCGCCCTGAAATGGGTTAAACAATATATTTCATATTTCAATGGTGATCCACGGAATGTGACACTCTTTGGCATGAGTGCCGGCGCCGCCTCAACACATATTCTCATGCTCTCCGAACAAAGTCGTGATCTCTTCAAACGTGCAATAGCCATGTCGGGTAGTGCTCTGAATTATTGGGCCAATATGCCGCAGACAAGTATGGCATATCGTTTAGCAAAATTCAATGGCTACACCGGTGATAATATCGATGCGAATGTGTTAAAATTTCTAAATAAACTCGATCCCGTAAAATTGGTCGTACATTCGTTGCTAACTAAAGAGGAACAGCGCAAGTTGTACCTGTTTGCATTTGGACCCATTGTAGAGCCGTATATAGATGAAAGTTGTGTCATCCCAGAGCGGCCATTTAAAATGCTGCGAAGAGCTTGGAGCAATAAAATATCAATGATAATTGGTGGTGCTTCATTTGAAGGACTGCTCATGTATCCCGTGCTGAAGAAAAATCCCGATATTATGAAACTTTTGTACAGCGAACCATCCCTCATTGTACCGGAAGATGTTTATAATGCGAATACGTCAAAGGAGAATCAAAGAATGGGTGAACAACTTTTGAAATTGCATTTTGGCGATAAGAAGCCCAACGATCATTCATTATTTAAATATTTAGATGTGAGTTACCAAACAAAAAAAATATTTAATATAAAATAATAGTTTCAATTTCATAAATTTCCAGCTGCTGGGTTACAAAATTATATGGCACGATTTACATCGCACGCTTTTGGCGCGTCTAAGCTTTGCGTTAGCACCCACCTTTCTCTACCGTTTCGATTTCGACTCTCCAGACTTCAATTTGAACCGCAAAAGATATTGCGGTGATGATAAGGTGCGCGGTGTGTCGCACGGTGATGAGCTTTCTTATCTTTTTCATTCACGTGACACACGAAAGGCAGTGCCCAATTCTTCGGAGTATAAAATGATAAAACGTTTCACAAGTATGTGGACGAGTTACGCGACTACCGGTGACCCCGATTGCCATGCATCCGATCCAATTACTTGGGATGCCGTGACGAAGTATTTCAACTTCCAAGGCGTGAATATGGGACCACATCTGGAATTTAAGACATTACCGGGAAAAGAAATATTAGAAGAATGGGCTAAATTGTATAAAAATCCTGAGCAATTATGCGGAGCGAACAAAGAGGAGGACTACAATTGGGGAGAGCCATTAGCTTCAACGATATGAAGAGCAAGTTATTTATGCATATTATATGTACATACACGTATGTATACATATATATGTTGTGTATATAAAAAATAGTCCCCATTGCAATAGAGGTAATATTTTACATATTCGATAGCTTTTTTTTTTAAATTTGTATGAGTTCTTACGAAAAACCAAATGAAAACCAAATACAATATATTTTGATACTATACAAGGTATACATTAAATAAAACAACTCTTTTAATAAGAAGGAAAAATGGGTCCAGCAAAAGAGTTTATTTATTTTTCCGTCTGTTCCTACGCAAACTGGTCCCTCAGTTTTTGAGATATTTCAATGAATGAATGAATGGTGTGCCAACGATGCATTAGTTAATTTACTAGTTTATTCAGATATCAAGTTTTTGCTAAAAATCCGGCATAAAAGCATCTAGGATACAAAATAAACATTGACATCGAAAATAATCTAAATCGGAAAATTTCATTATTTTCAGAAAGTAGAATTAATGTTTTATCCTAAAATAAAATGCCACAAGATCGATATAGCCCTGGAGGTAAAAAGACTTCGGCATGGTAGATTACAACTTTTCTATCTCGTTTTATTAAGATTTATCTTGCCTAAAAAATGAAAAATAAAATACATAACAGTTTTTGGCTTAAAAAACGAGAGAAATTAATCCAGAAATAAGACCTTGAAGGATTCAATGGATTATTATTTAAGAGATTTGCTATTATATCGATGTACAACTTTGCTTCCGCCGTTTTTTTTTTCTTTATTGCTTTATTGCGAAAAAGTGCTCACAGATATATTATTCAAAGTATTGTCCTTCGCTAGCGACAACTTTCTCCCATCTTTCTGGCAATTTTCGGATCCCGGCTCGAAAAAAGGAGTCCTCTTTTGACGCTATCCATGAAGCAATCCATTTTTCCAATTCTTCGAAGGATTGAAAATGTTGATCTGCCAGGCCGTGTGCCATCGAACGGAATAGGTGGAAGTCAGAAGGGGCGACATCTGGGGAATACGGCGGGTGGGGCAAGACTTCCCATTTCAGCGTTTCCAGGTACTTTTTGACCACTTTTGCGACGTGAGGCCGAGCATTGTCGTGTTGGAGGATGACTTTGTCATGTCGCTCTTGATATTGTGGCCGCTTTTCTTTTAGCGCGCGACTAAGGCGCATCAGTTGCGTTCGGTAGCGATCTCCTGTGATGGTTTCACCCGGTTTTAAGAGCTCGTAGTAAATCACACCGAGCTGATCCCACCAAATACAAATCATAACCTTGGCGCCGTGAATATTCGTTGAAACCACTCCCGACACGTTCTTTCACTCAGAGCAGCATCACCGTAAGTTTCTGAGAGCATTCGATGCGCTTCAGCTGCATTTTTTTTTCGAATTGTAACAGAAAAGTAAAACTTCCCGCAAATGGCGAGAATTAGGCACATAAACGGACATTTTCGAGCGTGAATAATACGAAAACAAGAACAACTGTCACTGAAACGGCGATGACAATTCGTTAGGCACTGTCCACACTCACTTTAAAGGCATTATCATCTATGTATTTCAACCAGCCTCAGCCGGTACAGCCACCTATCGGAAAACGGCGGAACCAAAGTTGTACGCCATATTTATTATGGGTTGGAGATTCTCGCATAACTTTGGTTTGTCTCATACAAATGCAAGTTTCACCCGATGAGCGGGCCTGGAATTTTCTGAAATGCCTGAACTTTATAGCAATAAAGCACTCCTTCGCTGAGCTATGTCTAGTAGGTAACTTCATATTCAAGCTATAAACATAATATATAGTATCTAATTTCCTTTATTTTAATACGGCATTCCACGATAGCCCAGCTACGTGTTTCGCTCTTTCAATCGTAATTCGCACTCCAAATACATGCCGAATCATTTAATTCTAATGGAAAATTTAACGAAACCAGCTGATAAATCAAAGCAAAAGAGAGGAGAATCTTATAAGAAGACACTAACACACAAACATTGATTTGAAACCGAGGACTATTTGTATATTAAAAAAAAATATGCGTTTTCAAATGGAACAAATAAGCGAAAACTGCCAAACTGCATGCCGTGTGAATGAGGGTAATTCGCATTCGTAATTGAGAGAGCGAATCACGTAATTGGGCTTTCGTGGAAATGCCGTATTGGGTATTGGCTTTTGAAGCCGATGGAAATCGATTTCATATCGATTTGGATCTACGAAAAGAAAATGTTGACAAAAATCAAATGCTCTATGGCTGCGTTCACTATTTAGATTTGACTGGAATATCAGTGGCACACATTTTTGTTGGTTTAAGTATTTTATTCAATTAAGATTTTGGGTTTTACCCTTGACACATGTCCACTTCGAGGAGAGAGGATTAGTTCGACTTTTCCAATATGCAAGTCCCGGTCTACTTTCCGGAGAGAGGTGGAGTAGTCTTCCTGTTAACCTCAGCATAAAGCTACATATGTACCGAACTTCAAGTAAATCAGAATACAAATAAGATCCTTCCAGAAAATTTTTCGTAAATCACTTCCTAGGTATTATAGAAGCAATCTGACGAAATTTCAAGTCCATCGGTCGGAAACTTTTGGAGATTTTAAGAATTTTCTGGATTTTTCCATGTGGATAAAAAATTTTTATATATAAGATTTAAGCTGCGTATCAAATATAGTCAGAGAATTATCGTTTCGCTTTCAAATGACTTCCAGGAAAACGTGGATACGAATATTTCGAAGTAAACGGGTCAGGTTCTGAAAAGAAAATATTCTCAAATAAATCGCATAATAAGTACGATTTTTTTTTTGGTTTTTATTTATTTTTTATTTTTTGAATACATCTATTTCTGGTCCATTTCCCGGAAAATATGTATTTGATTTCTAGGAAATCGAATCATAAACACATGTATATATATATGTGCATATATTAACTTATGAGCATAGTACCTAAAAGTATTGTTTTTAGATATATTTGTATGTATGAATTCCTGAAATATTTGAGCGCTTGTCGAAGACAAATTTGGTACAAACTGGAAGAAGAATATAAAGTCATCAAACCGAAGAGGAGAATTTCACGGGATAAACAGCAATTATGCTTCTCCTATTATGTATTCCCTGAGCGCAATAAAGTTTTTTAAAGAATTTTTTAACTGTATACATTTTTTAAACATTTCTTCTTGGCCTTATATGCTTCCCGGACACTAACAGTTTTGCATAATCAAATTCGAAAATGGATTAGAAATAGAAAATCTTGATTCGATAGTATTATTTATTTATTTTTCGTGAAATAGTTATATTTGCTTAATCTTTTGATAAACACAGTATATCATATCATATTAGCCACTAGTGTGTCTGTTAATTACACAGGAATCCGACTAATTAGCATATTCTGAGCCTAAACACCACTGGACAATTAGTTAACAAAATGAAAAGTTTCATTATAAAATACAATAGATTTAAATACAACTATTTAAAATATATTTCTATGTATATATGAATAGATGTATAGGCGCGTACAAGTCACATATATACACGATGTTAAATTCTGTTCTTTTGAAAGCGAAAGTTAATAAAAAATTCATACGAAAGTCTGCTACTAAATATACAATATTAGCATATGTGTATTTTAAGTGCTGAGACAATCAACTTTTACATTTTTAATTACCCAGTCTAAAGTGCAATAAATAGTACGAAAAAGTTTAATATTTAAGCGAGCAAAGATAGCTGGGAACATTTATAATAAATATATTATATTTTAAAATTCTTTAAGGAATTAAATGTTTAGGAGTTTAAGACAGAAATGTTTAGGTTTTGATGAGTTAGAGTTAAGATTGATTTTCAATTTCCTGCGTAAAGATGTTGGATCAGCAAAATAATTCTTCAGTAATATTTAACGCTAACCGGCTTCAAGGCCATTACGAAACTAAACCGACAGTTTTACCGATAATTCTAGGACCCAGGAAATAAACTTAGACAAGTACTTTTGTTGTAGAGTGCAAATAAATTTAGTTTTTCTATTTCAAACTATATTTTCATATCTATCTGACAATTTTCGATACCATCTCCGAAAAAATAGTTCTCTCTCTCTCTTCGAATCAATAAATTAGTCATTCGAAATTCTTCAAAAGACCCGAACCTATGACCTCGAAAATCGTAATGGAGAAAAATCTTCGTTTTCGGCACTTCATGGTAGTTTCAGAATCCTTGGTGAAAAATCATCTTTCAACATCTCTTGGCTTCAACTCGTATGAGACGCCCAATTTCTTTGCTTTGGAATAAATCGAAATTGTCATAACCAAACGAAATTTTTTTACTGAGTCACACCCAATGAATCAATGATTTTGAATCATTTGGCATTGATCTTAATCCATTATAGCCTGCAATTCCTCATCTTCAATAATTTTGGGTTGGCCCTTTTGAGTTGTCGAAACTCCTCTCTCCTCTACGAGTAAGCTTTCTCAATCATTTGGTTGGCTTTAGCTGCACTTGTCTTTTAATTAAAACAGAAAACCAAAACTTTGCCGCAAATGCTGTTTACTTAACACTAATCCTGACGTTTTTGAAACACAAAATGGTGAGTGAAATCTTTCAAATAATTCTGCCGACTTATTTTTATTGGATTATTCAACGAATCGATTAATCGAAAACATTCTGGTCTAAAAAATTCAAAGAGGTATTTGGTCGTTGATATTGATCTCTTTTCGACGGTTCTAGAATTTATGGAACGCAATCTTGACATGACCAAAATCCACACCAAGGGCAATTATACGTTTCCTCTGGTCCTTCACTTAAGAACGTAAATGTGGCAGTCAATTGAGGAATAGGTGGATTGAACATATTTATTTAAGTTCACCTATTTCACGATGAAAGTGTTTTTTATAAAGCCTCATTTAGTCATATCTTATTGCTCACAGACTTTGAGTCTATTGGATTGTTTTGGTCGCGCAACTTTTCGTTTGTTTTCTTCTCTAATTACAAGAACAGTCGCACCCACAAAGTAAAAACTTATTCTATATAAAGTTTATCAAAAATTTCGTCAACAGTGAAACTATCTACTGTTTTAGATGTGAAAAGTAAACTAAAATCGGAAGCAGCGTGTAGGACTTGAAAAAGTAGTCGCGTGTAATTAATAATGTAGAAGAATATATCTACTGTGTGAACGGTGCACCTAACGATAAGATAAAAAAAATAATTAAGTCATCGAAATTACGTACAAAAAAATTTAATAAAAGAAATGAGTAATTTTGAAAAATAGGAGAAGTTTCGGCAAAATATAAATAATGTTTTTTTTTTTTAATAAATTGCATTTCGAGCAAAGCTTTGTATTGTTGACTGAAGCTGGGCGCTGCCGGATGAAAGCCGTCAGGTCCGTAGAGTTGGGCCCTAGGGTCGCAGGGTATTACTCCCACAAAACACTTGCGCCGACTCACTGTCCTTCCACCACGACCGTTTTCGTTTGACGAGTAGACGGTGCACTTCAGAAATCGGTCGATTTAGTTACAATTCAGCAGAGATTTGAATATTAAAATTTGATCCTTGATGATTTTTCTCGTTAAAGCTTCTGATACCCATACATACAGCTTCTCAGCTTTTTTCAAGTCTTTTTTTTTTGGTGCAATGCTTGGCTCCAGGGCGTGCAAAACAGTGATCGGACATAGTTGACTCGACGACTTTCATTACTTTATCGACATTTTTACCAATTGGCCTTCCGCACCGTGTAGCAACTTTTACATCAAAATTACCCGAATCGAAGCCGAAGAACCCACCAAGATTGGCTGGTCATTAATTGCAAAACGGGTGGATTGCTTTATTAAAATTAAATACCAGTTTACTGAAAAATAGGTTGTTGGTTGTCTACGGGTGGTATGTTGCAGTCCACTGGTTTCTTTGATTGTCTGTACCGATATTAATTTAAATCTATTCTTCTCGTTATTCTGATCCGATGAGTATAAATTTTGATGGATCGATTTCTTCTCCTGCTGGTTCTTACAAACTTATAATTTATCAATTAATGTTCAAGAAAGCTGTAAGAAATACTATCCAAAATTACATTCTCTTCAGATTATAAAGTAGCACATTTATTCTGTAAAATTAAATATTGTAATTTTCATAAACAATTAACTGCGCCTTAAAACCTTTGTTCATTATTTGACATTTATTTTTATTTTATGGGTTGTTTGAGTGATATTACTATTATTACCTACTATATCATATATTTTAATATTATAATTTAGTTTAGAATTATAAAAAAACAGTTAGCGATACTATTCAAAAATTTTCATTTATTTCAACTTATGCGTGTACTCGCAACAACCTACGCAATCTAATCAAACTCAAACCGTAATATCAAAAGAAATTTTCAGTTTGTCTTGAACAAGCAACGTAGACGGTTCATTCTTTTTTTGTCAGCGCTGGAAAACTCTGAAACCGAGCATCTAGAATAACTAAACGCGCGTAAATAAATAAATGTAGAATTATTTATAATAAATTGAATAAAAACGAAACCTCATGAGTTCCGTGTGAGTGCATAAGCAGACTTAGTTTGTCATTGCTTAAACTAAAATTTGTTGAACTACATTTGTACACACATATGTATATGTATTTGTGCATAATTAATAGTGCTTGAAATAATAATTGGATGGTATTTTTTTTTAGCGAAACTATACAGCTTACACTGCCGCTGGGTGAGATCAAAGGCCGACACTGCCAGACAATTTATGCACACAAATATTGCAGTTTCGAGGGTATACCCTATGCGAAGCCGCCCTTGGGTGAGTTGCGTTTCAAGGCACCACAGCCTGTCGAGCCCTGGACTGATGTCAAAGATTGTACAAAATGCGCCAGTAAACCGTTACAAAAAAACACCCACACCGGTGGAGTAGAGGGTTCGGAGGACTGCCTATATTTAAATGTATATACAAAGCAGGTGGGCAGGCAAATAAGTATGAGCTTTTCATAAGGTTTATCTATCATCTCAAACGATATTACTGTTTCTTTTTTTTTCTTGTTTGTTTATTTCGTTTTGCACTGACGCAGACACTGTTATATAACTATTTTATCTTTCGCAACATTTAGTTGTATTCGGAGAAACCATTGCCGGTACTAGTTTATATCTACGGTGGCGCTTTCTACACTGGCGAAGCCACAAGAGATCACTACAGTCCAGATTACTTTATGAGCGAGCAAGTGTTGCTTGTAACTCTTAACTATCGCCTGTGTTCTCTGGGTGAGTAGGTATGCAGAATACTCTTAACACAATGTATACTTGTATATCGCTTATTGCATAGGATTCCTCAGTCTCGCCGATCCTGCACTGGACGTACCTGGCAACGCTGGGTTGAAAGATCAAATTATCGCACTCAAATGGGTTAATCGATATATAAGCCATTTTAATGGTGATCCCAATAATATAACACTTTTTGGTGAAAGCGCTGGCGCTAGCAGCGCTCATGCGATTGCGCTTAGCGAGCAAACACATGGTCTATTTCAGCGCATTGTGCTTATGTCCGGTACTGCGATAAGTTATTGGGCAAACATGCCACAAACTGATATGGCTTACAGGTTAGCGAAATTTCATGGCTACGCTGGTGAGAATATTGACGCTGAAGTATTGTCTTTTCTACGAAAGCTAGAGCCCGAAAAGCTGGTGAAGCATTCTTTACTAAATGAAGGAGAACGTAGAAAATTATATTTATTTTCATTTGGTCCCATTACTGAGCCATATATTAGTGAACATTGCGTGTTGCCGAAGCGACCATTTGAGCTGTTGAAGGATAGCTGGAGCAATCGATTGCCGATAATTATTGGCGGTAATTCCTTTGAGGGTTTATATATGTATAACCGTTTGAAAATGTTTCCACAAATAATGCGTTCGATTATAAATGATCCCGAACGTATACTGCCCGAGGATATAAAGGACACACACACGCCGGAGGAGCTCAGAGAAATGGGTCAAAAAATACTAAAGCTATTTTTTGGTGAAAAAGAGCCAAGCGATCGTTCGTTGTTCAAGTTTCTCGATGTAAGTTCTAGGTTCAATGTGCTGCAAAAATTTTTAATTTCAAACAAATGATTACTAAACGCTTGAGAAAGAGAATTTCTGTGACACGCCCTGCAATATCTAAATGCACTTGAATTTTGCAATAGTAAAAGCTCATGTATATTGACGCATATACATATATACGTATATTTCGCGTTTTATAATTCATCATTTTTATTTTAGATTTATGGCTTCAAATTGTTTTGGCACGATATCCATCGCACCGTTTTGGCACGTTTGGCATATACAAAAGCACCCACTTATCTGTACCGCTTCGATTTCGACTCACCCGATTTTAATTTATATCGCGCTAGATACTGCGGAAACGATCCCTTGCGCGGCGTGTCACATGCTGATGATTTGTCATATATGTTTTTCTCAAATGATTCATGGAAAGTCGATCTGGATTCGGCTGAGTATAAAACCATTAAAAGACTAATCGGCATACTGACCACTTTCGCTTCAAACTCAAATCCAGATTGCGATGAAATCGAACCGTTCGTCTGGAGACCACTAGAGAAGAATGATCCGAATTTGGCTTTGAACATTAGTTATGATTTACGTATGATGGAGTTGCCGGAGGCTGTGAAACTAAATGCTTTGGATGAACTATTTAAATATAGAGAGCAATTGTATTAATTTATTATATTAACAAATTAGTTTTGTGTTAAACTATATATATATTTACAAATGTATTGTAGAAAAAAAACCCTCTTAGGTATCGAAATCTGTGATGCACATGAAAGAGGGTATAAATGATTCTTAGTAAAAGTAAAACATGGATTCTCTTACTCGAACAAAGACAATATATCTTTGCGGATTATTCCAAGCTGCCATCTAACGGCCACTGGAATTTTATGATTATCAGTTTTTACTCATGTCAGAAATACACTCGAAATGTTTTATGCTAATTTTCTATAATTTAGGATATATCGTAAGTCAAACCAGGGATCGAACCTCGCAAATGTGTCAATTAAATCGAAGAATACAGAGGACATATTCTTCACGTGCGACTGCATTTGTGGATACTTTTTTGTCTTGGCGAGCCAAAATATCATGATTGATCCCCAATGTTGAAACCATGTTTTGCCAGCAGTTATTATACATTTACAGGCCTATTCTCACTGTTACTAGTAAAGTAATTTTTAATACTTTTTTTTAACACCCGAAAATTTGGTATTCTGGCGAACTGGTTACAATGTTTGAAAAAACTTGGGCAGCACTGCTTTTTTCGTCCTTGTCGAATTACATTTGCCAGTTGGTATAGTAAAAAAGAAGAACATCGAAGTTGAAGATGAGGCACTTCAAGATAAATAAGTTTTATTTATTTGCCTATTAAATTATATATATTTGAACCTAGTTTTGGAAAATATGCCAAAGCGATAAAAAAGCTGAACGAAAACGCCAGCTTCTAAATTAAAAGGCCCATTTTTTTTCTAGCAAACTTTTTAGAATGCGCCTTTTTTCACTTTTTCTTTTCTTCATTCAATGAATTTCAGGCCTAAAATATGCCTACCCTTTTGGTTTTTGTTGTTTCTCAAACTAACAACACAAAATCAAACAGTAGATTTTTTGTTTCCTCCTATTTCGCTGGTAACAAAATTTACAGGGTGACAGTGAACTCAGAATATGAAATAGTAACAAAATTTACTGAATGGTAAATTTTTATACCAAAGTAAATTTTGGTACCCCGACAGATTAGGCCTGTTAGTGACAAAATTCACCCTCTAAGGTATGGCGAGGTACAGAATAATGAATGGATTTTATGGAAATTTATTGTTAATAATTTTGATAAATTGTGGATGCTTCAAAATTCAACCACGGAACTTTTTTTTTGGCGAGGTACAGAATAATGACCACATTAATTAATTAATTTCATTCAAATAAATTTAACTTATCATTTGAATGCGGCAAAACTTTTCTACACTACACCATTTGGCTTGTAGGGCATTTTTAGTTTTCAAAATATACATAAGGTTATCCATTTCGTGCTTTCGAAAGTGCCGGACTGTATTTTGTCATCTGTCAAGCCTAACTGTCAAATTCATATTTTGTTGTAGTTAAATTCTAGGGTATCATTGTACTTTCCAATGATGAATAAAATTATATTGAAAAATATGCGATTTTTAATTTTTGGTGCGGTTTTTAACTCGGAGTTATTATTTTCACATAAAAAATCAACCTGTAAAAATAGTAAAAAAAAAAAAAATGTATATAAAAGCAGCACATTATTGAATTAGATGCTTGACCAACAAGTAGTGGAACAATTTTTTTTTTCGTAGTGAGGCCATTACACGCATAAAAACTTACTGTGTGGTGGATTGTTGGGCCGTAGATTAATTCTTTGAAAGCGACAAGCCAAAAATCCCCTGACGAGCACGACCTGCAGAATATATGAAAAAATGTATTTTCTTAGTTCGTTGCAAACTCATTTACTACTGGCAATCTTATAGAGCTGAAGAGCCATCAGTTGAGCCGATTTAGTAGGAAAATCAAATTGCCACTGGTTTCTACGGTACAATCATTTTTAAAGGCAACGCCAACCGCTGGTAACTTTTCATTTACATTGCGCTCTCATTACATGCTGAGTTGACATGTTTTTGGTTGGTTCGGCTATTTATTACAAATACAATTGCTAGCTCTATTTGTGGGGAAACATCAAGACGCAGAACCATTAATTGGAGGAGGAGCTCGGCCGAAAATAGTTTCAGCGGTTACAAAGTGCCAATTATGTACATATGTACATATATGCACATTCGCAAGCTGACAGTATGCAAATACATACATAACAGGATTAGCCAGAAGATAACTATATGTAATATCAGCGTTATTAAGCTAATAGTGAGCGTTTTTTTTTTTTGCATAATTAATATATCAAAAGTGTGATAATAAAAACTGATGTCACTCATGTTTACGTACATAGCTACAAATTTATTTTCTGCTCTGCTAACATTTCTCAGAGTACTAAGATTCAGTTTATTGTGAGAGAGTTAATGGTGCGAGCTTTATTGAGAGGCACTTGTGAGCACTATTTTGAGCATCGCTTGTTTGGCTCTCAGTAAATGCTAACGTTGGTAAAAAAAAACATAAAAAATACATATGCAAGTGTAATAACGTTTTGATTGATATAAAAATTTTATAAGGTAGTTACTTTGAATTTTTTGACACTAAACGTGCTTGCAGAAATATTGCCAATTATAAAATTTTCAACTTGGAGATTTTTTCATTAATTTTGGGTTTATCTTCGGAACAGGTGTTATAATTTGAATACACGTATGGATCTATTAAAATATTTGTTTCAAGCCGTTTTTCTAAGGTGGCATATGTGAGATGCTTTTTTTTTAAATAAAGTGGAAAAAGTTGACATTTTATACTTTTTCCGAAACGTGGACTTTTATGTTTTCAACTATACGCGAAAAGTACGTGGTTTGGCTATCTGGTTATAGGGTTACTAGGGAACTGCGGGGTCGATGAGCTGACCTGATGGGGATAGTCACAACAAACTTATTTTCTTGGCTACTATGCTGTTGGGACTCATGGTAGAAGGATAATTTTTTCTTCTTCTTATAGAAAATAAAATTAAATAAATAAAAAAAATAAAATTTGTATAAAAACGCACGCTACAAATTTACTCGTAATAAAAATACTCGTTCGGTCTCTAAAGAATTTCAACGGTGGTTTGGTATTCAAATACTTTCTTTTCTCTAAAATCATAGAATATAAAATATCTTTCAGCTTTTATGTCATTTCTTATTTATTTATTATGTTTTATTTGACACGACTAACAGACGTCAGTAAAAAGTCTGATCGCCGACGACTTTTTTTTTTTTGATCATACCTGAATATTTACATATGTATGTATATATGTACATACATGATTGAAAATATGAAAATTTAAAGAGAGCCAACCTTATGTGAACACCCCTAAATATGCATGAAATAAAGCGCATGACAGATAAGCGTAACTTTTCGCCAATAAGCGCAGAAGAGTCTTTATTTTGATAACATTACATGTAAAACTAGAACTGTTAGTTCTGCGCTCTTTATATAATGTTCGGTTGTCATTTTTAACATTTAGTAGTGAAAACACTTTTGGGCCTGCTACAAGGAGAATTTAACAAGGTGGAGTTACTAGTTGTTACTTTTATTTTGAATTTCTAATTGCATAGCCGAAAATTTTCAAATTAGATTTGTGAAATTTTTCAATTAAAAAGAATGTGCGCCTTTTTTTTAAATTGAGTTGAATTGATGCGGCTATTAGTCAGTGAGAAAAGCACTTTGTCACATTTTGATATCGCTATAATGAGACTCTTATCTTCACTATCACAAACCTTCGACTAATATCGTGTGCATTATAAAAGTAATAGGTTTTTTTTGTTTTTGCTGAAGCTAGCGCAGCATGACAGACAAAAAGTGTTAGTGTTCTATAGAACCTTCATCTGAGGCAAAAATCATTACAGGAAACGCAGTCTAGCTTTTGCATTTTTGACAATGGCATGAGAAAGGTAAAACTGCATCGAGAATATTTTGGATAGAAGGGCTCCTTCTCTCACTAGCCCGTCTACCGTGCAATTGCTTGGGGTGTCCGGGTACCCAAACTATGGCAGTGTTGCATTTAGTCAAGAGTTTTTCCAGATTGCTTCTATATTTTTTAGCCACTTTTGATGTGGTACTGTTACACTTTACAGATCTGACCTTATCATAACAGATATATTTGCTAACGTATATTTGATCAGATACACGGCGGTTTCCATGATTGCAAAAAGCTCTGCTTGACGGACGGTTCAGTGCTAATATCATTATTGAGAGCCCACTTTTTCATGGGGCTTTGAGCCGTCTGTAAAGATACTATTTATACTACTATTTATTTATACTATGGTTAAAGAAAATATATTCTTCCCTTGTGAGCATTGAATAAATAATTATAATCAATTACATAAACCGCAACTGTCTACACAGCGCTACAAGAACTTAAAGAAGTGTTGGAATTTTGGTAATCTCTAATGACCGTAGCAAATATAGAGCTTTCTCCTATGTCTATTTCGTGCAATGTGACTGCGTCCTGTACCTATTACCAATGTTTACAAAATTTCCATCCGCATAAGGGTTCTCCAAGAATTCCCTGACATCCAATAAAATAAAACTACCTTGCTGCGAATTCTATGAACTTGTTATGAACTAGACAAATTGGTACACTGAAAATGAAAACAATTTATTTGTATACTTTTATTTTATTTGCTTTATAAATTTTTTGTTGGTTTTTATTTCATTCAAAAAATGTGGAAAAACTTGAAAATTTATTATTTGAAAATCAGAAAAAAGAAATTAAACAAAATAGAAAAATCGTTTAAAAAGTTATTACGCTAATCAAACAAAAATGCTCTCCAGATTTCAGCTCTGCACACATAGCCTGTACAAAGTACGGGCTCAAATTCTACAGACATATCTGCGAAAGATGGCAACCGAGTAAGTTAAAAACGATAATAATAAAGTTAAATACATCTATACATACATAAATGTGCTTTAACTCTATTTCAAATTTCATTCAGCTCTTCAATTTTAGACACAGTAGAACTGCAATTACCGCCAGGTCGTATACGCGGCGCTAAGCGTGAAACGGTCTATGGAGATACCTACTACAGCTTCGAGGGTATACCATATGCACTGCCACCTGTTGGTGACTTACGCTTTCGTGCACCTAAACCGTTTGGAAATTGGAAGGATACATGGGATGGAACACGAAGTCCACCAATGCCGGTGCAAAAGAATCAGCGTACTGGTGTAATAGAAGGCAGCGAAGATTGTCTTTATCTCAATGTGTACACAAAGAATGTAAGTGTGGTATGTACATAAGTAAACATTAATAACGCATGACAACGCATACAAATTCAGATTAATGCAACCAAACAATTGCCGGTTATGGTTTGGATATATGGTGGTGCCTTTGTAACTGGGCGTGCTGCGCGCGAACACCATGGACCCGACTATTTGATGCGCGAAGATATTGTACTTGTGTGTATGAATTACCGCCTCTGCTCGCTGGGTAAGTACATAAGTGATGTTTAGATATTTGCCAAAGAATTGCAATGTCATAGATATTAAGCTCTTCCTTGCTGTGGGCCAATGGTTATATTATGGCCTCCGCATCTATTTCCGACGAGAAATAAAAAGGTGCTATTTTTAGGACTCACCGAGAAATTGGAAATATTACTGTCCCTTAAGGACTTATTTTCCTTGTTTGAAATTAAAAGAATATGAGTTATCAGGAGAGCCAAAAAGATTATGCAATGAGAGCTTTTGCCTCCGGCTTAGACATATTAGTGGCTCTAGTATTTAGCTAAGAACCCTTAAATCTTTGGTTATATACAAATATTATATTATATTGTTACGTGGAATTCAACCAGAAGAAGTTGAAATTGTTCCACGCTAGCGGTTACTCTAGAGAAAGAGAATAATTAACGCAATGGCATAATTCCGGTGTGGCCGGAAAGGTTGGGTGATCATAAGTAACCATTTTTATCGCACCTATTTGTCGGTGGCAGGAAGATAACACATCTGTTCAGGCTTTGGTTTACTCACGCGAAATAGAAAAACTTATGATGCAGACACCAAATACTAGATACGACGCTATAGCTTCAAATGATCACTATTACATATTTTTCGTTCTGTCGAGCATAGTGAAATACATACATACATATATGAATTTCTATTTTATATTTGTAGGTTTCCTCAGTTTAAGCGACCCCACTCTCGATATACCCGGCAATGCCGCCCTAAAGGATCAATTGCTCGCTCTTAAGTGGATAAAGAAGAATATTTATTATTTCAATGGAAATTGTAATAATATTACCGTTTTTGGTGAAAGTGCCGGCGCTGTTTGTGCACATTTACTGTCTTTGAGTGATCAAGCGTGTGGTCTTTTTCAGCAGACGATTCTAATGTCCGGATGTGGGCTTAATTATTGGGCGTTCATGCAACATAATGATATGGCCTATCGACTTGCGTCGTATCATGGTTATAAGGGCGAACGAAAAGACAAGCCAGTGTTGGAATTCTTACAGAAATTGGATGCTAAGCAATTGGTTGACCATTCGTTGCTTAGCAAGGAGGAAACGCAAAATTTTCATTGGTTATCATTTGCGCCTACAATTGAGCCATACACATCCGAACACTGCATAATTCCAACTCACCCTGTGAATATGCTTCAGTCGTCTTGGTCTAATGGCATACCATTCATCATAGGCGGCACCTCCTTTGAGGGTTTGTTAATGTATCAGCGTATGAAAATGTTTCCACAACTTTTGGATCTTATAAGAAAGAAACCGGAAATTCTTGTACAGGCAGAGTTTAAAGATATTTACCCAAGTAATCAAATTCATGATTTGAGCAAACGCATACTAGATGCTTATTTTGGCAAGAACAAAGACGAAGTAATTGTAAAGCAACCGAAGCAGGATCCTATATTTGATTTATTGCACGTAAGTTGGTGCGGAAAATCGGTATTCAAAGCAAAAATTAATACTAATTTTGCTCTCTCTCTCTCTTACAGCTTTTTTCACACAAACTTTTCTGGCATGGCTTGCATCGTGTCGCACTTGCACGCACCAAATATGCCACGGCCAATACCTACCTCTATAGATTTGATTTTGATTCACCTACTTTCAATCACCATCGTTTACGGTTCTGCGGCGATGACTGTGTGAATGGTGTTGCACATGGCGATGATCTTTCTTATCTATTCTATTTGAAGGAATCGAGTAAACTGGAAAAGGACTCAGATGAGTATTTAACTATCCAGCGTATGATTAGCATGTGGGCGAATTTCGCTAAGTTAGCTGATCCGAATTGCCCCGAGATCAGGCCAAATATTTGGCGACCAATAGAAAGCGCAAATCCAGATTTAGGTCTAAATATTAGTCACACCGTGAAAGTAATGCAAATTCCAGAAGCGACTAAAATGCAGACTTGGGATTCTTTATACGAAAAGAACTTGCTTCTTGGCTCGGTATCTGATGATAAGGAAAGGATTACAGCGTAAGCTGACTGGAAAAAAATGTCAATCAATTTTAAGTGTAAACATAAAAATTTATAGAGATTTTGTACTTAATTAAAAGTTGGCTTTCTTCTCTAAATTTCTCATTGCACATATAAATATTTTTCTCACATGAAATTATAGCGTTAAAAATTATTAAATTCATTATTAAAAAAATCGTGCCACTAATTCAATTATCTGCATAGAAAAAGAATTTTAATTAGTATGGAAATCAGCAAATCATTAGCAAATTTTCTTTCTTTATTTTTCTTTGTCCCACGAGAGGAGAATTAATGTTTTTACAAGAAAAAAATATATAACCGAAGTTCAAATAAGTGTAGTTCTGATCCATTGTTTCCTCTGACATTGTATATTTTTTTTAACATCTGGAAGGTTTCAATCTTGGGGAATATCAAAACCTCCAAGTTTATTTCTTCCCAAAGCTTTTTAAAAAAATATGTTGCTTGTGAATTAAAACTCTAAGATTTTTCTTTGGAGCGAAATTAATTAAAAAAACTAAAACTTAGTTAAAAATTTATAATTTCTCAATTATCAGAAGTGGGAGTGTATGTCAAGTTTGTGGTTCATTTCTTTCGGAGACTTTTTAAGTGAGTATCCCTAACGCAAGCTTTCCTACTTTAGCTCACCTATAAGCTATCAATACAGCTATAATTGTGAACTCCTGGAACCTTCCTACTTTGGTGAGAGGATCAGATGTTATATATGTATCTGCTTGTACTGTGTACAGAAAACTATTTCTACTACACTTTGTTTTGTTATTATAAAAAGAGTGATTGTTGGTTTTGTTTCGTTTAAATGTTTAAAAACTCAACGTAAACGTTTATTTTAAAATGAATGCTTGTTATAGTTGAACAGCGTACTTTCATTTTAACGTTTAACATTATCTGTTAACGACTTAACATTTTATGTTAAGGATTTAACATCATCTGTTAAGGAGTTAGCATTATCTGTAAAGGCTTTAACATTCTCTGTTAACGATTTATCATTAAAAACAGCATTTCGTTTCGGATAAAAACGAAACGAAAGGTATTTTGATAACTTATTTAACAGCAAAATTTTCAAATATTTCAACCAAATCAGAGAAATATTTTTGTCAACATGAAAGTTATGCTTTCAATATTTATATTAACTATAATAAGTCTAAGAACAGAAATTGCCCACAATTCTCAAAGCTTATCTCATAACATAAGAATTACAAATTAATACGTAGAGATAAATGCAAGAGTACTATTAGTATCAAGGTCAAGCCAAATGTGTGCATTAATAAAAATAATTAAAGTGTCATTTTTTATATAAAAATGTTCTTGAAAAATATAATAAAGCATGAAATAAAGAAATTTTAGACGCGGCGAAGGAACAAAACACACACACATTATTCCATCGTACTTACAAATGTACAAGTAAACTATCGAATTAAAAATTTATAAAAAGTGCTCAATTTTTAATTACAGTACTTAAGCAGGTACATGTGTTTACTATATTTTCACAACTTTTCCATAGACGTAATTGTTTCAGCTTTATCAAATAAAAAACTCAATTATATCTGAGGGAGAGAATGCAACAAATGCATTGCAGAGATTGTAGTTGTAAAATCTATTAAGAAAACAAAATCTCCCTGTGGTTACTTTTTTATAAATTTTTAGCAGTTTTCTTTTTCTCGTTACCTTGAGCAAGGTAATAATGCGCATATATATTGGGAAATACTATGTAGTATTTGAAAAAGAAAACAAACAATAATATCTATAAATAGTCTCCCAAGTGTCTCAAAATTGAATTGAAGTTGCTTAATATGTCTATTCTTTAAATGTATTGATTGCGGTATACATGCATTTTATGTTACTTATCGATATACGGGTATTTCATTTCATCAAATGTCATTGCCAATGCCTTCATTTATATCCATATACACATATGTAATATATTTAATATATTATTAGCACTTTTTACAAGCAGAAACGATTCTCGGCCGAACTTCTACTGCAGTTTGTGAAATGCGACTCAAGATTTTTCCAACAAATGTAGTGGCATGTTTTTATTCTATGCTAAAAACGAAGGGAATGTCGATTCCCTGCCGATGTGTAACCGCAATTTGAAAAAAATAATTTTCTCGACTCGAAACCTGGCTTTACGTAAAAATATAATAAACACCGCTAAACACAACTATTGCCGCCGCTGTACATACATACTCGTATCCATTTATTAAATATGTACATATAGACGTATTGACAAATTAGCCACTAGCGCCAGTCGAACCCAGTGAGCAAAATAACATTTAAAACCAAAATGAATTACTACAAAAATTTCATAGTACCGCAAAAAATTAAAATAAAAAAAAAACTTTTTCAAATTCTGTGTTTTTTAGTATTTCAAAAATTGTATAGGTAAATTTTTAATTCCTTGATTGGAATGTGAGTAAGATTAAAAAAAAAATAAAAATTTTGTATAACGAAGCAAGTCCATAAGTACCTGAAGAAGAATGAATAGATCCCAAAAATTTTATACCGATTTGAATTAGAATGACGAGTTGAGTTGTTTGAATCATGATCGTCTCTCCGTCTGCTTGTACGAAAACAAGTTTCTCAGTTTTTCAGATATTTGAAGAAAACTTGATAAACATATATAATTATATATTTCATTGATATTTTGTCGATTTGTGCAGATATGTTTATTTGGGTCTCATAAATACTACTTAAATAAAACATCAAAGAAAGTTAAGTAAGATATTTTCCAAGAATACAATAAACTACAACTTGGGTACTGAAAACCATCAAAACAGAACCGATGTTTTCAGAAAAAAGGCTTTGGTTGAAAAAATGATTGAAATGAGCACCCACAAATGCAAAGTTTAGTATTTTTCAACACGTGCATCTTAATACATATGGGCATCGAAAACCAAACTCTATATACATATATATAAATTAAATTTTGTCAAAAAAGCGTGAATTTCGGTGTTCTACATACTCAAATTTAGCACTGATAATCATCTAAGCCGACAGGGTATACAACATAATTGCATTACAAGTGATCTCCTCACAGATATAAAGACTTAAGCATAGCCGAAGACATCACTTCTTTCTTGTTTTAATTAACAACTGGGCTAAAACCTCTAAACTCCCAAATATTTCATGTTTATTATAAGTTTTTTAATATCAGTTGTCACTACTTATAAAAAAGACAATTATTTTTCCCACAATGAATCTTCTAAAATCCTTTTTGCTTTTTGCTTTTTGAAGAACTTTCAGGAACTGAAAATATGATTCCTGAAAATGAGTACCTACTTGAGTCTTTATGTAACTAACAACGTGTTTTTAACTATTGAAACACGCTTCCAACAACCCACGTTATTTTCTTTTAAGTCACGGTTGCTTGAATCTTTTCAAAAATTTCTTTAAAGACTGTTACAATTAACCTAACCAATTAAATGGAGTTTCAAAGATCAGTCAACGAGGATCGAAAATCGAAATTTGTTCATAGTTAGGGGCAACTTATGTAATTTAATGTTTTTTTTTTCCTTTTTTTATAATATTTCCCACCGTTAAATATCCTAAAATAACGAGAAATCATAATTTATTTTTAAAGTTTTGAATGTTGATCTGGCCATTATCCGCACCAATGACACTGCTAACCGCTCGTCTACCGCAAATTGTCCAATTACGAATTTTAAGAGTATTTAATTTGAAAACATTTTGTTTTGCAGGCCAGCTGCCTATGAGACCATGAGGGGTTTACTAGAGCTCAATATTTGATTTGAACATTTTCGAACAATCGAGCATTTGATCAAAGAGTACTCATAGATATACTTGTTCATTGTTCACACCGTTCAATTATCGGGTATCTTGAGATCTTACACTTTGCATTGCAGTTTAAAACGCCGATTTACTGCTAACTGGAGTACGTGTGAAAATTGTCAAAACATTTGTTTGTTTTGTGTTGCTCTTTCTCTCATGCGATATTAATTGATATTTCAGGCAGGCGTATTGCAACGACAGTAAAGCATGTTTATACTGGCTGTGTGTGTATAAAAAACTTGTGATTTTTCTTTTTTTTTTATTTATAAAATTACAAAGGAAAATTGACTACTTAAAGAGTAAATTACGTATTTTTTATGTTTCTTTTTGTTTTTGTTTTTTTTTTTTTAAGGTTCAATATCACGCTCTCGCCAACACCGCTCATTGATCGTGCTTCAAGTGTGCGCCAAGTGCATTTTATATATACATATATATATATTTTTTTTTTTAATTTATCATTTATTTGTTTATTATATTTTTTTTTTGAATTTCTCTACTTCATATCAGTTCTCATATACTTTTTGTGTTGATATGAGTAATACATTTTTTTCTACCTCTTCCTCTGAACTACTTTTTCATTTCTTTATCTTTGTACATACACAATGTTTATATATGCCTACTTTATATATTTATGTATGTATGTATGTATGTATGTATGTACATAGTTGAAGCTGTGATTGTTTACGCTCAAGACTTTTTTCAGTATTGTTACTTACGCTGTGCCATCCGGTCGTACATGCCAGCGGTACGGAGTTTTGCCGCTGAAATCTACAACATATGCACAGATTGTCGGACGTATATTTTTTTCTTTTATAAAATTTTCGTGTTGTGATATTTTTTTCCCAGCTCTGATCTATGTACATACATACAATCAGTTTAGAGTTTTATTAATTTTTATAAGTGATAAGTGTTATTCGATACGATTTTTTTCTTGCTTATTCTGTTCAAGTGCAGAGAGAGTTTATGCCTAATCTTAGAAGCTTAACTGGTGATTCGAAGCATTTAAATACATTTTTTGTGATATATAAAAGTGTATAAGCTTAACAAAAGATAAATAGTTGTGTCTCGACATTATGCAGTCAAATATTGGATTTATTGAAAAATTCCGTTGGCGTTTAAAGTGAGTGTTGAAAGTGGTCGAATTTAGCCCCTTCAAAATTTGTTGTAAAAATTTCGGTTTTGAAATGTTTGTTTAAGTGAACAAATCAAAACATCTTTGACTTTCAAAGAAAATATTTTTTTAGTTTGCTATTTTTTATGAATATATTATTTAAAAATGAAAAAAAGGAATTTTTTCTCTTTACTTTTTGAATTCACATCTCTTTGAGTGTAACACATGTTTTATTTCACAATCTGACCGCCCGCGTGTCTTTGCTTCCTTTTTTTGTGATTTTTTTTTTTTTTTTTTGTTTACCAAAACCAGTCTTAAAGGCAAGCGTACTTGCGCTCATACCAATATGTACACTCATCCATACATATGCACACATTGTGAATGCGACGCATACCTAAGTGTTAGTCAATCTACTGACCGAATCAGCTGAGATGACTAATAACTGGTCAGTTTAGTTAATAATCAGTCACATCTGTACGTTTGTAAGTGTGAAACTAAAGAAAATTTAGTGGCAAATTGTAAACAATAAATTTAATGCAAATAATTAGGATTTAATATTAATGAAAATATTTTTAAAATTGTTAATATTTGTGAGTTTTCAATTTTTTTTTTTTTTTTTTTTGCAAATATTGTATGTACACATCTCTGAAAAAAAGCAGTGTATATACATATGTATGTATTTTTATCCACAATTTTAAATGACTAATTCTGACAAATAACAAGTAATTGGTGGCAACATAGCACAAGATGATATCGCAACTATTTCGTTTAGCTGTCATCAATTCCGTGAATTTACTTAAAATTTGATATGAAGTCACTTTGACTGGCTTCGAAACATAACAATTAAGAAATTGACGGAATCATGAACGAAATTTCACTTTCATTGTGTGTGTATATATGTACGTATGTATGTGCACATATATGTAAGTATGTTTCAGTCGCAGTTTCAGGTGAGACCGTCTTATAAACATTGTTATCAGTGTTGCCAGATTTCTTCGCCAAAAAAATACGTGAAAAAAGTAAAAAAAAAAAAATCAAAGCCGAAACTGCAATGATTTTATTGAAAAAATGTATAAAACACAATAAAATAAAACAAGCGTAGCAAAAACAAAAAAAAATGTATTATTTTAAAAATTTAAACTTCGTAATTGTATGCCCATGTCATATTTAGTAAGTAAGAATATTTAATATTCAAATCGAACAAAGCGCAATCTTCACTAATCATTTCATCGTTTTAGAATGTCTTACAAATCAAAAGCCATCTCGAAACAACATAATTTCACCAGCGAAGAAGAGCTAAACTAGAGCTAAAACTAATTGAAAAAAGGTTCAAATGGCAACACTTATATGTATATATATATGTACATAGAAACATATGCATGCATTTTGTACGGACATACGAAAATATATGTATATTCACGTATGTAATGAGTAAATATGAGTGTGAATTTGTTTACCGCTCCTGCCTGACCTTCGTTACTATCATTCATGCATATGTACATATTGTATGTATTTACGTGTATGTATGAAAATACATCTATTACCCGCTCTCCGCCTTTTGGGAAAATTACAATTTTTAACTGTATCGTGAAAATAACTGAACTCAAAAATTTGCTATTTTGTGTTATTTGTTCTAAGTGTAGCGAAATTTAATATCCTAAACAGGTAGCTACAAAGCATGTGCATGTAAACTCATACAATACATACATATACGTGTATGTACACATGTATGTAACTATAGTGCGATCAGCATGCGATAAAATCAGTTTAAAAATTGTATTGTGACCTTCAATGTACCGAAATATAAAAACTATATTGATGTAGAGAAAGGTTTTGTACTGTTAATGAAAAGATTTAAGTCTAATTTTAGGTGCATAAGAAGCGATGTTCAATCATTTCAAGTGAAGATTATGTTTTTTGCAAGCAAGAAAAAATGACTCTATTGAGATAAATTTTTTGTAAACAACTGCCATTGAATGAAAGGGCTAATAATTAAATATTTTCATTTCCTGATTATTACATTTTTCATTTTCAATTATACAAGAAATATAAAATAAATTCTATTTAAAATCAAAATATTTATTAATTTTTCCAAATATATTTAGCAACATATATATATAAATAGAGCAACACATTTAAATCGTGCTCTATGACGCTGTAATATTAAATACAGTTCAATTTCCTGGAAATTAGTTAAATTTTTGTTAAAGTTACCCAAAAAAAAATAAATAAATATTCACACTATCTATTCGTTCTTAATTAATAAAAAGTGCTTTAAAAAATATTTCTATATTACTAAATTGAGTATAATAAATAATATGTTCTAAATTATTCAAAAAAAAACTTAATTTTATTCACTAAATGTTTTGCTTGCTTTATGTTCAATATTACGGAGTTTTAGTTAATAAGTGTGAAACTAAATCAATTTAATATAGAAATATTTTTTCGATTTCGGCATTCTATATTAAAAACTCATTAATTTTTACATTAAATTGAGGGATTTATGTGCTATTTATTCGATTTATTTCATTGATTTTTGCATTTTGTTAATGCCATTATGCGTTTCTCTTTGAAACCCTTGTTGGGATAATCGATTTTCACTTGTTCCTTTTAAGACTAATTCTTCACCAGCTAAAACATTCGCCATAGACAGGAACAGATGGTAAGAACTTCGACCGTTGTTCTGATGAAAACAAATTCCCCTCCTGTTGACCAACACTGAGCGATTGTTAGCGTTAGACGGCCTAATTGCCGGTAACACAGTTCCGAAATAAGGGTTTTATTAGTAAGGAAACAGCTCCTAGTGGATGATTGTTTGCAGGTCTCACCCAAAATTTAACAAAAACTTTCTGATCGTTAAACCTCACATCCTTCGATCACTCTCGATTGACGTAATTGATCCATTTGTCAACAGCAGTCACCATTCGCTTCAAAAATGAATAAATTTTGTTACGATTAAGCTGTAAGGATGGGGGAAATTCGGAACATGAGATTTTTAGTCGATAACTAATGGATATATTGGATGAGTGCATAAGTTCGTGCCCGATTTCAAGTGCAAACTAAAATTGAAATTTTTTGAAGAAAGCGCTTTTATTAATCAATTATGTATTCCCCATTATGTTCGGCAATCCACTCCCAACGTTCAACCAATTTACGGATGCCTGATGTCAGGGTGGTTTTTGACGTCTTCCACATTTTTACATTTTTTTCCATTGAAATTGTTCTGCAGCGATCGAAACAAATGATAATCAGAAGGTGCAATGTCGGGTGAATATGGTGGATGCGGCATGATTTCCCAATTCATTTCCTTCAGTTTGGTCAAGGTCAAAGAACTCCTTAGCGATTGGCCAAAATCGATAACTCATGTAATATACATGCATCAAGCTTCTTTGATTATTTATTTATTTGAATGAAAAATAATTATGAATAATAAGTTTTAAAATAATTTTTGAAGCTATTCAATGAAATTTCCAATCAAAATTAGAAACAAAAACATTTTATTTCAAAATAGGTTTTTAGTTTTGACAATCTTCGTCCGGAAATGCAAAACATTTTTGGTTTGACATTTAAGTTTGACAGATGTCAAAATACAGCGCTGTATTTTAGAAACCATGAAAATGATAGCGGCTTATTTAATATTCAGATTAAATGTAAATATGGAAAATATATTTTTTTTTTAAATAAACGCTTCATAGCAACAATTGTTAGGCAATGGAAAAAAATTTATTTTTTTTAAGGACAAGCACAATCTAAATATCTAACTCATACATTTCTTCCGTTCTTAGAGTCTACGAACACAAATACCAACAAAATCGACTGGCCACTGCAGAAACGTTAATTGTAGAGACTGAATATGGAAAAGTAGAAGGCATTAAACGCTTAAGTATTTACAACATTCCTTACTACAGCTTCGAGGGTATACCTTATGCCCAACCACCTGTGGGTGAGCTACGCTTCAGAGCACCTCAAAGGCCAACTCCATGGGAGGGTGTGCGAGATTGCAAAAGCACCAAAGAAATGGCGGTACAAACACATATCATAACTGGAATACTGGAAGGATCTGAAGACTGTCTCTACCTCAATGTGTATACGAATAATGTGAGTATATATATAAATTTATGTACCAAAACAGTGAAACGTTGCATCGTTAAACGAAGGAGAAAAATCTCAAATTTCTACTATTAGTTCTCATAAAAAGAATAAAGAATATATCGGCTTATGAATTTTTAAAGAATAATTGTTTAGATTATAAAAATTACCTATAGATCCTGTTCTAAAATTTCGCTTTGCAGTTTATAGTATAACATACCTTTGTATGTGTTCATTACTTATTTCTTAATATAATAATACTTTGCTCAATCAGTCCGAAACTTGCCCGCAGCCTTGTTACTTTATATCTTTTTCTTTTACTGTTTGATATTCAAAAATAACTTAAATCCTCACAGACTCTGCCTGATAAGCCGCGCCCAGTTATGATATGGATACATGGTGGTGGACTTTGTACTGGAGAGGCGACACGTGAATGGTATGGACCTGATTATTTCATGCAAAAAGATATTGTGCTTGTGACAATGCAATATCGGCTAGGAGTATTGGGTATGTGTGGGATGATAGCATATTTTACAGGCAATAATATTTCGTACGAGTATATTATTATTTTACATACAAATATAAACAGGCTTCCTTTCGCTGGGCACACCCGAACTCAACGTACCTGGAAACTCTGGTCTGAAAGACCAAGTATTGGCTATAAAATGGGTGAAAAATAATTGTGCGAGATTCGGTGGCAACCCCGACTGCATAACTGTGTTCGGTGAAAGTGCTGGTGCGACGTCTGCGCATTGTATGATGCTCACTGAACAGACACAAGGTCTTTTCCATCGCGCCATTCTAATGTCGGGTACGGCGCTACCCCTATGGGAGACAGAGGATCAAAAATATCGTGCTTTCGATCTCGCAAAATTAGCTGGATATAAGGGTGTCGATAACGATAAGGATGTGTTGGCATATTTGCGCAAGTGCAAAGCGAAAGATTTAATTGCGCTCGAAGGTCGTACACTTACTGCGGAGGATCGTGCACGTAACATATCTACGCCATTCGTATATTGTGTAGAACCGTATGTGACACCTGAATGTGTTATACAAAAGCCGATAAGGGAAATGATGAGAACAGCGTGGGGTAATGCGATACCGTTATTAGTTGGTCATGCGTCAGATGAGGGGCTGATCTTCTTGCAAGGTGAGAACTACTGGCATTGCCACATACATTTTTGAATCATTATAATAAATTTATAATTTTCCCTGCCTTAGGCGCTAAGATTTTAGCAAGCATAGCCCAGAGACAGAAAAGTTATTCATTAAAACCATTTGTACCTTATGAAGTGGCGGACAGCGAAGATAATGAAAAATTTGAACAGAAACTGAGAACGTCGCATGTGAGCGGCAAAACTCCAACAGTTGAGGAATTCAAAAATGTGAGTATCGCAAAAATAATTATAAAAATGAAAATTAATTCATTGTCACGATTTTCTGGAACTTAATTAAATAAATAATAATAATTGAAAATCATATTTTTATATGTATTTGCGTATGAATAATATCAAATATCACGCTTCTAGATGAGCTTTTGGCGGCTTCTTTACCAAAAACCTCTTAAAGGGGGATTTTTCAAGAGCTATAGGAAAATTTTTCACAAAAGACTGCATAATTTCGTTATTTGAGTCGAAAATAGGGTCCATATAATTTAATGTTTTAAGATTATTTCATACAAATTTTGACCGTTACTGCGCCCCAAATGGTCCAACTGCCTAATCCAATTTTGGCATACTCTTTCCAACATTTCGACCCGTATCTCACGAATAAATGCTTCAATGCTGTCCTCCAATGCATCAATCGAAGCCAAATTGTACCTATAGACATTATAATAAAGACGTTAAAAACCAACTCAACTCGTCTTTCAGACCCGAGGAGCCTAAATTTTGATCGATCTATTTCCTCCCGACGCTTACATACTTCGAAACAGAGTTAATATTTGGTCAAGTAAAAAGATCGTTCGCTCAAACCTTAGCCTGAACCACTGATCGTATTGACCTGATAATTTGGTTTCTTATAATACATGCATCTCATAAGAAAGGATATTCCGGGAAGTTGTTCTGTAACCGATCTATTAGGAAATTCGAATTTATTTTTAAACCGTCTGTTCATGAAATTTAGTTTAACTCTTTACCAAAATGACACTTTGTCTTTTGGGAAGTAGATCTGGGGCGATTCGATGTCTCGGTTTACCTTAATACGTAGAACATATGTAGTTGGCTCTTTTCTAAGAAATTATTCTAGAAATGGACCAGGGACTGACTTATTCGTAGAAATTTTATTTATGGCTGGATTTACTAGAAATTAGGTAGATATGTGGCTTTTGGCTTAGGATAATAAGAAGGCTACCATTCTCTATGGAACCTTTACCAAGGAAGGATCAATTTGAAAAGTTTATTTATGGCTGAATTTACTTGGAGTTCGGTGAATATGTGGATTTTTGCTAAGGTGAGCAGAAAAACTACTTTTCCCTCAGGGAAGTGCACCAATCCCAATGGTAAAACCAAAAATGTTGTATTCCCAGAAGTATTATGTTAATAAAGCCATGATAAAAGCTTGATTGATTTTTCATGCATTCAATGAGTATGTGCCAAAGCTAAGCGTTGCAAGATACAGCTAGTCTTTATAATAATCATATTTTATATTAATTTTTCTCATACTCTTTTATACATTATAAAGAAAATATTACATTCTACATTTCAGATCATCGCCTATGCATATCTGCACTTTCCACTCTACCGACTAATACGCTCGCGCTTGACATATGCGGCTGGCGCGCCCCTCTACCTATATCGCTTCGATTTTGATTCCGAAGAATTGCCACATCCCTATCGTATTCTACGCAATGGCCGTGGTGTAAAAGGCGTAGCGCATGGCGATGAACTTTCCTATATATTTACAAACCTATTTTCCTGCACATTATCCAAAGAGAGTCGTGAGTATCGCACCATTGAACGTATGGTAGGCTTTTGGACGCAATTTGCACAAAGTGGTAATCCAAATAATGAGGAAATTCCTGGTATGGCAAACTTAACATGGGATCCACTGAAGAAAAGTTCACCGAAATTAAATTGTCTGAATATAAGTGATGATTTGAAACTAATCGAATGGCCGGAATTGGCCAAAGCGAAGGTGTGGGCAAACGCTTACGATGCGCATAAAGAATTATTGTATTGAAAAGGGGACAAAGGAGGGGTATAAAAAACAGAAATATTGTCAAAAAACAATTCAATACAAAAGTAGTCATATCTGTGTAACTCAAAATGTGTATATATAGTATGTATTTTCTTAATTTATTTAAATACAATATATAATTTGTTAATTATGCATTTGTTGTTTGTACATACTCGTATATTGTATTGGTTTATTAAAAAAAAAATATTTTTTTACATATATATTTATATAGATTTGTGTATAAAGTAGTTAAATAGTAACCAATCTCATTAACCAAAATTCCACTTCAAAAGCTTTATAAAACTATAAATTATGTACAAAATTTAAATAAAGAAAACACAAAGGCTGCTTTCAACCAAGCATGGAAAAGTTGTTGTTTATTATTGAAACTATCGCTTGTTTGCTTCAAATTCTGCAGGAAAATGAAAGACTTCAAGTGTCGCCTGCATATTCAGTAATTTAATCAACAATCGAATGACTTGCTAAAAAAAAAGTAATTATAGCACCCAACTAAAAATAGATTGCTCAGTCGCATTGATCAGGCTTTTGGGTAACCGTTATACTGTAATAAATGGTAGTCGCTGCCGGCTGCATGCCAATGTACCGTTCCCTCCAATAGTAACCAATTGGTAGGTCAAAAAATGTATTTTTTTTTATTTTTTCACTTGTATCTGCTTAATAAATTACATTGCAGATATTCCAAAAGTGAATATTAACATCTTGAATGTACTGAACCCAAAAGGCTTGCTAAAATCGTAAGCTGATATAAATGAAGGTGCACCTCTTGAACCAGTATGTGACTACTTAGTATGAAATGAACAGATTTTTACTAAAAAATATCGATCAAAAAGTAAATAAATCTGTAAAAAGTTGCTGGAGCTTAATAAAACTAGTTGATGTATGCAGAGTAATGACTAAAGGTAATTATTAGGATGCAATAAAATAAATATAGTTCGTTTCATTACACAGTGGTCAAGCAAATATTTTGAAGAAATTTCTTAACCATTAAGACAGTTGACCGCAAGTTTTAAATCCACGTCTACTACACTAAAATATCTCAATATTTATATATTACTTTTTCTCGTACTTATGGTGAGTTAATTGGCTATTCTACGTCAAGCCGCACGAAAAAAGTTTTCCATTAATATTGCTTGAAATTTTATTAAAACTAAAAATACCAACGACTTTATATAAATGTGAATTCCATCGCTTTTTTTTTGTTTTAATTCTGTACCTAACATATATAATTTAGAAAATGCAATGTTTACATTAGCAGTGAATGTAATGTAATTAAGGGACATATCAACTAATTGCAATTAGCATGCAAACAGTATGCCATGAATAAGTAATTCTTACAAAAAAAATTCATTTGCTAATAAGTTTGTATAAATTCCAATAGGTTATTTGAAATGATCAATAATAACTGCTGTATGACGCGGCAAGCTCGCATGGAAAAATATGGATATGAGATGTAACTACGATAAAACAAATGTTAAGTATACGTAGGGGCGGTCAATATAAGTTAAATTTCGTTGCGCATATAATTACATATGTACATACCTAGTAGGGTTTGAATAACGAAACGATTTAAAACTGATTGAATAATTACTGTTTCTATTTAAAACCATTTATTACAACGCAGTTTATTACTTCTTTATTAAAAGTTTCGTTTTACATTACTAACTAACTATTATAAAAAAAGGATTTTTTATAAAATTAAGATTCAGAAATTATATCTTTGGTTTATTAGTCAAGCCAAAACAAAAATAAGAAGTACATTTGAACAAAAATATACAATATCACATACATATATCTATGTATACAAGAGCTACAATAATTCTCTTGGGAAATATACAATAATTAGTATTTCTTTCTCAATGTACTCGTATATTCAAGAGTGTTCATGTAAAATCTGCAAACGCTTTGTAATTCCGAACAGATGTATTCACTCATGTATGTAGTGTAAAAAACATCACCGCAATCAGCTTTGCATAAGGTGAGGTCAAGTTCTGCTACAACAATCTGAGAAGCCAAGTGCTAATCGATTTGATAATTTTGATGTGTTAATTCGTTGCAAAATCAAGAATATGTGTTCCTGTGCACGAGAGAAAATAATAAAGTTAAATTAAATATGATGAACTAAAATAAAATTATTTGATACAAAATAAAAAAATATGAAATAAACTAAAATAAAATAATATAAAAAAAATAAAATAAAGTAAAATAAATTAAAATAAAATATACTTAAGTTAAATAAAATTAAACTAAATTTAAATAAATTAAATTATCAAAAAAAATAATACAAAATAAAATTAAATTAAGTTAAACAAACTAAACTTAAATAAAATAAGCAAATAAAATAATATAGAATAATATAAATTAAAGTAATGTAAAATTAAATTAAATGTAAATAAAATGATATAAATAAAAATAAAATAAAGTAAAATGAAATTTAACAAACTAAATAAAATTAAATAATAAAAATAAAATAAAAAAAAAATAAAATAACATAAAATAAAATAAAATAAAATAAAATAAAATAAAATAAAATAAAATAAAATAAAATAAAATAAAATAAAATAAAATAAAATAAAATAAAATAAAATAAAATAAAATAAAATAAAATAAAATAAAATAAAATAAAATAAAATAAAATAAAATAAAATAAAATAAAATAAAATAAAATAAAATAAAATAAAATAAAATAAAATAAAATAAAATAAAATAAAATAAAATAAAATAAAATAAAATAAAATAAAATAAAATAAAATAAAATAAAATAAAATAAAATAAAATAAAATAAAATAAAATAAAATAAAATAAAATAAAATAAAATAAAATAAAATAAAATAAAATAAAATAAAATAAAATAAAATAAAATAAAATAAAATAAAATAAAATAAAATAAAATAAAATAAAATAAAATAAAATAAAATAAAATAAAATAAAATAAAATAAAATAAAATAAAATAAAATAAAATAAAATAAAATAAAATAAAATAAAATAAAATAAAATAAAATAAAATAAAATAAAATAAAATAAAATAAAATAAAATAAAATAAAATAAAATAAAATAAAATAAAATAAAATAAAATAAAATAAAATAAAATAAAATAAAATAAAATAAAATAAAATAAAATAAAATAAAATAAAATAAAATAAAATAAAATAAAATAAATAAAATAAAATAAAATGAAGTAAAAATAAAATCAAAAGAATATAAAAAAGTAGTAAGTAAGTATTAAGGTTACTAAAAATATATAAACTTTTTAAATAAATCATATATAATGATATACATAGAATGTGTGTGTCTTACTAAAAATATCTACAATCTTCACATAAAACCACCTGTGCTCAGTGTTTAAAAATAATTTGTTTGATGCTATTTGCTGCTGCTATTGATTATTTCTCGCTTATAATATGCCATTTAGAGGTAATGAATACACAAGGAAGCTTCGCCGATAGCCGGCAAGCCAAACCGTTGGACAACAAGAAACATTGTATGTATGAAGTGTACCTGCTTTTGCATAAAAATAAATAAATACATAAATTTCTGCAATAATACATAGCTACGTATCAGGCGAGTGTGTTTATACGCAGAGCGTATGAGCAACGACAACAACAATGGCAAACAAAATAAGGCAAGTGAGTTTCAATTCTTTAATCATGCTCACATAATAATCTGAGAATCAAAAGAACTGTTGGTAATTTGGTTGGGTTCTGTAACGGCAGTCATAGCATTTATATGCATACACACCCATTTCTCACATACATCCGAATAAACGAATACGACCGTTTCATTTGTGGTGTCAGAATAAAAGTTGAGTTGTTGCACACATTAAGCATTTTGTGAGAAAAATTGTACATACTACTTACTCAACTAGTCTTGAAGTAGTTTTTAGAAGTCCATTTATACAAAAAAAAAAAACTGGTTAATAGTAAAATGAAATATAATACGATAAATTTTGTCGTCTATATAAAAATAAAACAATTAAATTGCAAGTGATAATTCTAAAACCGATTTAAAAAAATTGAAAAAAAAAAAACGGTTACAGCAGAATCTCATCAGAATTGTGTCTCGCTTTACGTCAGTATGGTATGTATTTATGTGATTAGGTATACAAATAAAGTAATTGAGTAGAGCCAAAGCGAGGTGAAAGAAGATATTGTCCTACATTCAACCTTTTACAGTACCTCAATCCACTAGTGCAAGACATGATTTTTAAACTTCGCAGTAAAGGAAAAGTAATACTGCATTTTTACGAGATTGATTATGCTGAGATCTGTCAAATTTTATAAATAAATTTTTATGCAACAAAAATGAAAAATATTGGCGAGTTTTTAGAAGCTTTAAGGTTTTTAGTGAAGCCCAGCTTCATTAAGATTTTCAAATACTTAAAGCGAGAATTAGATGCTCGATAGTTATTTGAAGTAATTTAATTTATAATTCAAATTACTTAATAAATAATTTCAAATCATATGCACTATTAATTTGTTTTAGATGAACAATATTGTTTTCTACTTGGTTGCTGACTGTCACGCTGCGGATTGTTCATATCAACATTTTTTCCAACACTCATTTAGTTAATTGCTTCTGAGTGTGTGTGAATACGAGTCTATAGCTTGGCCAATGCCGCCTTACTCGCATTGTGGCATTCTCAGTTGACGAACAACCCTTGTGCAAAACGGATAGACAACGACATGCTTGTCGTGACAGGAGCACTGTAAACGTGTGTATAAAAGTAAAAGTGTATTGATTTGAATAAAATTTAAAGAAGAAATTACTTTGGAATAGAAAAGAAGAAAACTTGACAGGACGATATCGGTGCATACATAAAAGAAAAAATCGAAAATAAGAAACATCAACAAGTGCGGTGAATTTGCGCGCTTAGTCAGTGTTACTGTAACAATACATACATACATATCTGAAAATCCTGCGGTTAATTTGGAAAATTGAATTTAAATACATATTAACACAATATTTCATTTAATTATGTGCATATAATATAAACTTTAGTTGATGCGGTGTAATAAATGGCTTTTTAGCTAAAATTCACAAAGAATTCAAAACTGACTATTTTGTGCATTATTTTTGCTGACTTTAAAAGAAATTGCCTATTGAGCACTTTTCAAACTGTCTCTTACTAAAAATATTTATTTGTTTTTATAATTTTAAACATTCCCGAGTCAGCGAATTTAACACAACAGTAATTACAAAACAAATTTTTTTTTCTTAACAATAAACCGCTGAAATATGTCTTTCGATATACCGTTTGGGGATCAAATGCGCATAGCTTTGAGGTAAAAATATGTTTTTTTAAAATTAAATTAAACAATATTAAAATACATGATTTACAAAAATGTACTTAATTGTAATAAAAAATTTTGAAATATTTTTTTTTACAATATCATTGATTAAAATTATCATTTACAAACTATTTGTTTGGGTAAACCAATATATTATTGAAAATTCTCGAAACTATCTTAAATCCTTCAGCAGCTGGCAACACGTCAGTATGCGCTGATAGGCAATAATCACATGCCCAAAAATATGTAATAAAACATGTCAGCACCGATAAATTTTTGTTTACAATGCGTAAATACAATATTTCTACTCTTTATATGAACACTCATACAATGAGGCGTACGAATTAAGCTTACTGTCTACCCATCTTTTTATTAAGGGCAATTTAGCGAAACCAAAGGAATTTACATGAGCGAAGTAAGGAGAAAATGTGAACTGTGCAATAATTTCGTATAAGCAAAACAAAAAATGGATGTTATGTTGATTATAAGCATAAAACATTTTAAGGAAAAACCAAAAAACAAATTTGTAGATTTAATTCTGCTACTATTTTCAGTTCTTTAATATGCAAATAAGAATTTTTATGAATTAAAAATTTTTCAAATATAAAAAAAATAAAAATAATAACTAAGAAAGGAAAAATTATGCGTTACAATAAAGTTAGCAGTCACATTTTCTCTTTCAAAAATATGCAAATACAAAAACTTTTCTGATTTTTTGTTTTCGAAATGAAGAAGAAATATTAATAATTTCAATACAATCATCAAGTAAAACAGTAATTTTTAAGAATACATATGTACATGAGCAAGTAATACGGAAAGAATAAAATTTAAAAAAATTAATTTAAATAAAAATTCTAGATCTAATTGCCTCGCAGTAGAGAATATCAACCCATTCGAGTATATTTCTGATATGAAATACAAGGTTCTTAAGAAAAAACCTTCAGCCTTTCGAAGGCGGCTTAATTTAAATGGTAGGTGCCTCGATTAGTTATACGACATTAAAATGTACATAGCAAACTGGAGAAGGATCTGGTCGAAAATTATGTATATTATATATAAATAAATTCATATATATATGTATTATATAATACGTTAAAGCTTTTTTTCAAACAAAAATGTGAACTGTTAGTTTCTTTCAGTTTTCATGAGCTAGCAGTTTTCAATGTTCTTATAATATCCACATTTTTTATGCTAATAAAATAAATCTTGTAGTAAAAATATTATTTTTCTAATCTATTTTCGCCAAAGTTTTATAAAAAAATTTTAAAATTTGTCACTTCTTCTTTATCGGCAATATATTATCCCTTCTTAATTAAGAGATATTTTGAGAGTCATATTCAAAAATGCCTAAACTATTGTAGCTGAAAGTATATTCCAGGTTTAATGTTTTTTGCTCTCTGACAAGCATTTCACAAATGTCTTCGTTCGCTAAAGTCGGAGTCCATAGTACAAATACCGAGCTTACTCGCCTTGATGTCTGTAATTATTAAAGTCTCATGCCCATCAAAGTTTTCCCTACACTATATATAATATGTTGTATTTACACACGTGAACAAATACATACTTACCTACTTGTCAAGGTAGTCACATATTCTTTTGGCGAACACACGAACAATTCAGTACATTTATTATTTATCAGGTTTTGGCGCTGTGGCAGACAGTTGGAAAAATTAGTTAGGTGCATTATAACTAATCTAATAATTATCGAGATGTGAATACATATGTATATTGCATACATTATTCATAAGTGAACAGGAACAGGAGTGAATTTATATGAAGCACATTTCGGTATTCAAATAAACTACTTTGAAATTATAATGATAAGCAAGTTACATTAGTAAATTAAAGATAATTGTCTACTCTTGGTTAGAAATATTCGAGATAAATACCAGTTCAAAATGGACAAAAATAATAAATATAATTTGACGCTTAGTGACCGCTGAAGCGATTTTCTGCTTTGGGAGTACCTCAAAAATAACCCGAGTGGAAGAACTTTCATAATTTCGAAACACATTAAAAATGAAATAAAGGGAAAAGGTGTAATCTAGTGCTAGTAAGAAAATAAATTATATGGATTTACATACATATTTACAACGCTTTGTACATAGGTAGCACAAATGTGTCCTTTAATTGCGATCTACAATATTTCAACTTTATTCCTTTAAAAGTAAATTTTTAAGCAAGCTTTATATATATATATACTAAGCCGCCTCCATACGGCTGATGGTTTTTTATGGGCAGCTTTTTTCATTTCTTGTTAGAAATACACTCGGAGAGGTTGACATTCCCTGCAAAGGGGCGACCGCAATTGGAAAATTTAAATTAATTTTTCGCTTATATTAATGTTCTATGAGTTTTGGATGTTGCTACGATACCAGGATTTGAGCCGAATAGCAGTATGTAATGCCAACCACTCGGCTACCGCGGCCGCAACAATTACCGAAATAATATATGTATAATTAGTTATTTAGTTTTGCTTTCTCATGGCCGCAATAGTCGAGTGGTTAGTATGGTGTACTGCCATATGGAAGGCCCTGCTTCAAATCTTAGAAAAACCAAGCTATTGAAATTTTATTTACATAAAAAATAAGTTAAATTTTCTAATTGCGGTCGCCCTTAGAATGATTAAGCTCCTCATGAAAAACTATCAGCCGTTCGGTGTAATATAACTTGTAGGTCCCTGTATTTGTTGGGAAAATATCAAGACGCGGTTCCATAGTGCCAATTAAAAATATAGTTTATATAATTTAATTTTATTTGTTTTTAATTTATTATTTTATTTCATTAGACTTTATGTTATTTTTTTATTTTAATATTATTATTTAATTTGTATAATTTTATTTTATTTATACTATAATTAATAATTATATAACTTTATTTTATTGCAGTTAAAATAATTTCAGTTTCTTTTATTTTATTTTAATTTATTTTATTTTACTTTAGTTTATTTAGTTTTTTGTTTTATATTTTTTTACCTTATTTTATTTAATTTTAATTACTATATTTTATTTCATTATATTATATTTTATTATTTCTTTTTATTTGGTTTTTATTTTATTCTACTTTAATTTTTTTTTTTAAGAACAATTTATTTCATTTTATTTAATTTACTTAATTTTATTTGATTTTATTTTATTTTATTTTAATTATTTAAATTCATTTAACTTTATTTTTCTTTAATAAATATTAATTTTTTTATATACCAAGTTATTTCTACAATATCTTTATGATCAATGTATGTTTGTCTGTTTGAACAAGTAGCCGTCGCTATTATGCACAATTTTAAATATTTCAGGCCACGGAAAAAACAGGCAAAACGCACAGAACATACAGCAAACAATTTACTTAATTAAATATTTACAATTAAATGTCAAAATAACAACAAATATAAAATAAAGAACAACTTACATAGTCAAATACCTAAGACATTTCTGTGGTGTGAGAAACATGGCTGCATCTGCGCAGTAAAAGTCAATATAGCAGTTTTTGAATGTACGAAATTGGTTAGCAACTGAAGGTGTTTTATAAAAATTGCTCTTAACTGCTAAGGCTAGAGATCTGAATAACTTCAAAATATAAATTTTTTGTTAAAAAAAAGTGTTATCTTTTCAAAGACAGTAGTCCGAACTATACATAATTTAAGCAAGTGCCTTATATACTTGAAGTTTTTCTTTATTAATAAAGAGTTTTTATATTCATATTTAAGAGCAATTATTTTACTTGAAATTTAGCAAATAAACCACAGATCGTTCAAAATATTCGTATTAATACAGGTATGCACGATGAATGCGCAACCTTGACTTTGTGATCTAAATTTCTCTACCTTAACCAAGTAAAAATTATGCACATATACGTGTATATAAATTGTACTCAATCGAAGTTCTATTCAAAAAAACAAGTTACTGCATGATACACTCATATAAATATATATATGTACACAGTTGTTATTATATTCATAACTTGTTTCGTTAGATCCGAGATTGCATTTAGATTCATTTATTCATTAAAATCCAATCGGAGAAGCGTTGACAAGCAGACAACAAATTTGCATCAGACAGTAATTTGCCAATGCATTTTAATTGTGTGGTGATGACTGGCAAAAAATAACAAGAAGTCTAGCTTGTACATACATATATAACCAGAAATGGCAAGGAACAATTCGTATACTTATACATAAATATCATATGCGAACATAAATATAATTTTATATTTATGTATGTATTTTTATCTATGTACCTTGACAATGTGTCATTCAAATACCCGTTCCTGATTGCCTTCTATGGCATACTAGTGTGTTGCAGCTTGGCTAAAATATTTTGAATGAAATAGCTATTTTAAGAAAAAAAAACATATAGCTGTTAAAAAATTAAGAAAATAAATAATAAATAATAAATAATAAAAAAATAATATTAAAAAAAATCGAAAGTATCATGATCGTCTCGGCTAACTTTTATATTATATTATAAAATTTGTCATGCTTTTATCATTTATTTTTTTTCTAAAGTTTTGTTTTTCATATCACACACATGACTAATACGTTCGTAGGATTATTCCTACAAAAACGATAAAAGCAAAATACATAGAAAAATGTGATAAAAAGCCGGCCATCAATCTGCGTAGGGTAGACCATCCATAATTTGGTTGGTGGTTTACCAAAAGCTTAAGTGGGAAATATTGAAAACTCACTGCCAAGAATGTTTCTTTCTTTGTATTTATATATTTATCTGCCTATTTTTTTAACATCTTTAGAACGAAATTTTTTCGTGGCCCACCTTCGGAACAAATACAAATAATAATAAAACGATAGTTGCAAATCTAAATGACTTAGCACCTTAATACGAAATGCTAGTAAACTTCTTACACACACATGTACCTCAGCGACTGATATATATATATATCATTATATATATATATATATATATAAATTGGTGGTTTTTAACCGCTGAAGCGATTTCCATCTCGACTGATAACTCATATAAAATAAAAATATAAAACTTTTTGCTGTTTTTAATGGTTATTCCCAATACCTACTATAAATGTATCTGAATGCAATAATTTAGACACTGGAACAGGTAATAAAAAATTATTTGTAATTTATGATACTTTTGAAAGCAATAGTTGAGGAAATGATAAGCCGTCTTAAGGACTTTGATATCAACTTGTTCACTGCAATATTACCAGCCTGAATTGTATGAGTCGTTAAAAAAAGAGTTTTCTAGAATAAAAACCACTTATATTTCTGTTGCTTTTAATTTACTAAATATCTTCAGCAACTGTTAGTAATTAATCAGTTTCCATTTTCACTAGAGCTTTATAAATAAGTTAATATTTTCGAGGCTTAAATGTAGGTAAAAATCAGTTCCAAAATGAATAAAAATCATAGGAGCTTATTTTTGAAATGAAATCAAAAGGTTCTGCTCAAACTATATATTTCATGTCAATCAAAACAAATCAATATTTAAAAATATGATCGTTAAATGCTAGCCTTAATGTTAATATGTTAACATTTAATGTTAACATAAATGTTAATGTTAATTTTAAATATGCTGACAATACCATAACAGGCAATAATTTACTTTGAAACCCATGTTAACTATAATTTTATATCGTTTCAACATTAATGATTGGATTTGGTTTGGTATTATGGCTCTGAAACGAATCAAAAATCATTCAATCCAGACCTCCCACCAATTTATTACCAAAAGAGTATGTCTAGGGCGAATGATTTTGCTGGTATAGAGGTGGGCTAATCTTTTCAAATAGTTTGGTTGAATCTCCGTTTCTCGGAAGAGTGAATGTTATGACAAACCATACAGTTAGGCAAACTTGACGTATATTAAAGGTCAAAATGGTTTTTAAAAATTGAACGAACCCAAATCAACTTCCATGGATAAAAATTAAGACCAAATATCAGGTGAATGAATCTTAAATATAATTTCGTACAAATCGATTCCTGGCCTACTTTCCTGGTTGTTCTCTACAAGCGGGCATACCTTGGAGTACATTCGGAATTGGAGAATTATTATTCACCCGGATGACGTTGCCTAACTAGCATAACCACTGCCTCTTAGTTGGCCAAACTATATCAATATCGAAGTATCACCGTTCCATCGGCTACAGTTTCCACTCTTTTCAATGTGTTTCAGTGTTTAACGACTTGCAGATTTTGATGTTTGTTCGTGATTTTGATGTTTGGAGTTCACGTGTTAACACTCACAATAAAAAGTCATAAACCAATATACCGTTATCTTACATACATTAAACATTAAAAACCTCAAATTAGCTAAGGCACAAGATCACCAAAAAATGCGATCGTCCCTCCACAGGAAATCCCCATATGTGTAAAAATTCTTTATATATTCTGAAGCATCTCAAATTTATTAAACGCTCCATTTGAGATCATTTATATTGTTATAAATAGCCGATTATTTATTCTTACTTATTTTATTTGCCAGCTTAGTTAAAGTTATATACACATACTTACATTGTGACACATACAAATTGAATAATGTTATTCTAAAAGCAACTTGAATTGTGCTTTAGATTATGCCTGCTAACTACGAATTAAAATACCTTGATATAATATAAATATATACAAATCTGTTTATATATACGTATATATATATACATATATGCATATATTTATAGAGCTCGTCAATCATTCTATTAATCAGTGACTTGGTCAAGAATGCGTAAATGTGTGTGTGCACTTGCTGCGATTCATCTCACCATATCTCAAGTACAATTATTTCATTAAAATCGTCACAATCGTTAAACAGCGCATTGAAGCAACTCACACTTATTGTAGTTGTTTGTGCACAAGATCAAGTGGCCTTAGAAAGCATTTCTACCGGTAATCGTTCGAAAATGCGGCGCAATATTCATACAATCACAGCGATCAAGTACATGCCACAGCGACTACTCAAACCGGATCCCTCCATTTGTGGTCGTGATTTGAGGTTTCCATGCAATCACTGTTTGTGCAGTATTGACGTAAATAAATAAAATTAGTAATTGATAAGTATGTTGTATTTATGTTTCAAAGCCGATTGTGTTCCTTAAATTCAGATTGAAAAAGAACAAGCCCCCCTCCATTATCACTGCGTTTGTACATTTTAAGCAGCTGTCCAAAGTACCATCATGCATACATAGTACATATGTGTGTGAATGCATAGACATCCGGATACAGCGCTTTTCAGACAGTTTCTTATCAATAAGTGAGATAAGTTCAGTCCGGGTTCATACACTAATTATGGAATAATACAAATATTTTTGTACACCGTAGAAATAACTTTACAGCTGCTGTAACCGGGTTATTATCCAGATATTTATTTATTTTTTTCTGTACAACGCTACATCCTGAGGATATATTTCACGTTAAACAAAAAATTTCAATCATCTCGTTTGAAATATGTAGAAATGTAGCTGCTATCAAAATAAATTTGCTCTCATTTTTACCCAATTCGGCAAACTCACGGTAATGTTAAATAGTTAACAGGTAATGTTAAATGTTAAAATTTAGGTGTGCTGTTAAATCATAGCAAGCTGTCATTCTTTAAATTAACATTAACAATAAGTTTAGCGACAAAACGAAATAAATCATTTCGGTTATTTATATATTTTTTCATGTTGATAAAATGAAATGTTAAATTCTAGTTCTTTGACATGAAAACCATCAGTGATTCAGAGGTTTAACTTGCACATTCCTCAATGCACGTAATTTTTTGTCTTAAGGCCTTTAATGCTAAGTAGTCTTGAACCAAAATCGGACATTTCCAAACTGATTATTAAACAAAACGGTTGAAAGAGATTATACACACATACATATGTAATATTCGAACGATTTGAATTAATCAGTTTCTTCACTTTGAACTACTTTTAGAACTGTTTCGGCAATAGTTTTTTCCGCAATCTCTCTTTCGTTCTATTAATACTTTCAAGTGCCAAAAATGATATGATTGGCTCGATATTGATGGTACGCAGTACGCAGTAAACTTCCTCTTAGAAATAGTTAAACTGCTCTAAATGGCTGTTATGTAGTCCTGTTGGTCATTAAATAAACTAATTGGATCTTTTTATTTGTACATACAATTAACAGCTTCTTTGTAAAAAATTATTTGCATAAAGCCTTAATGGTTTTTGGTATTTCCTGCTTAACTCAGCAGCTTTCATTATAGCAGAGTTTCAGCATTCAATCCTTTAGCCGTCTTTGAACCTCCGTTTGAATATTTTATGTTCCGTTGGTAGACTGCATGTTGCTGAGCCATTAAACCTCTTTCAGCGTAGCCACTTTAATTCCCTTTTCCCTGTTAAAATGCGGTTGTCATGCGGTCCATGCTGTGTACTCTCTCCTTGCTCACTGAACTCGATAGAAAGTTCGCCTTAAACTGTAATTCTTACAGCTAATTTTGCTGCGATACTTTTCAAGGTCGTATAACCTTGTGAGTGTAGTCCTTCTTAGTGCTTCCGTTTACTTAGAAAAGAAATTAAAAAAATTAATATCTGAGAGAGATTTATCCACTCAACTCTAAATCTAAAAAATCTAAAAATCCACAAACTGGTCTCTCATATTCAGAGATATTACCAAACCAATTTGTTGAAAGCGGCCAGATCGTACCACTATAAGATATAGTGCCCATACAACCGATTTGTTCATATATAAATGATATGGTCTCCCCTTCAACAAATTTTTCAGATACGAGAATTAATAGAGAATCCTCAAATGTTATACAATTATATTTGATGTGGTCAAGAAAGGTACAAAGATGTGTCTCCCTATTTGTTTAATGCATATTTTACTCATTTTTGACGCTTTTCTTTTCTCCTTTACTTTCAGCTATGTGAAATTCAAGACAAATCAGAAGCGCATGCGCACTAATGAAAAAATCATCACTGACACAATTTATGGCAAAGTGAAAGGTGTAAAATGGCATTCCATATATGGTGGCTCCTATTACAGTTTCGAGGGTATACCATTTGCTAAGCCACCAATTGGACGGCTGCGATTCAGAGCACCAGAAGAGCCGGAGCCCTGGACGGAAGTGCGTCGCTGTACACGTGAACACCCCAAACCATGTCAACATAATATAATCTTGAAGCAAGTACAGGGTCGGGAAGATTGTCTTTATTTGAATGTTTTCACAAAAACGGTGAGTTTCACGAAATGTCTTTTCAATAAATTTTTATTTTGGCACCTTGAGGTTTACCGGTAACATCTCTTTTACAGCTTCATCCCTCCAAACCGATGCCGGTATTGGTTTGGATTTATGGTGGTGGTTTCCAAATGGGCGAGGCTTCACGTGACTTATACAGTCCCGATTATTTTATGATGGAAAATGTTGTGATTATAACTATTAACTACCGTTTGGGACCTTTGGGTGAGTGGAATTCGCAAATAAAAATCAATTTTTTTTAGATATTTTAATAGCGTTGCATTTGAATACCTTAATAATGTTTTGATTATAAATATTGTTTTTTTATGTTCTCTATTTATCACCCATTTTAGGATTCCTCACGCTCGAAGATCCTGAGTTAGATGTACCTGGTAACGCTGGTTTAAAAGACCAAGTGTTGGGGTTACGTTGGGTTAAGCGAAATTGCCACTTCTTCGGTGGTGATCCCGACAATATAACAGTGTTCGGTGAAAGTGCAGGCGCTGCCTCTACACACTACATGATGTTGACCGAACAAACACGCCACCTCTTTCACAAATGCGTTCTATTATCCGGCACCGCGTTGGCACCTTGGGCCAACATACCACAACACAATTGGGCTTACCGATTGGCTAAGGCTACTGGTTATCGTGGAGAAAATGTAGATAAACTTGTCCTGGAACACTTGCAACATTGCAAAGCGAGCAATATGATGAAGGTATGCCAAGATCTGCTCACCACCGAGGAGCGCCATCAAAGAATGATGTTCAGTTTCGGACCAACAGTCGAACCGTATGTGAGCAAACATTGTGTTATACCAATGGCTCCACTGGAAATGATGCGAAACGCCTGGGGCAATGAGATACCATTGCTTATTGGCGGTAATAGTTCGGAAGGTTTGCTAATATTTACTGAAGCGCGTAAATATCCTGAGTTAATGAATAAATTGCACGAGGATGCCACTTATTTGGTGCCAGATGATGCGAAAGTGCATGCTGATAAGCGTAAGGAGTTTGGTGAAATGCTTAAGAGGCAGTATTTCGGTGACAGTGTACCGAGTTGGCAGACTGTGTTGCAATATGCCGATGTGAGTATAACTCGATCATTTTCCCATATTTGTGTATAGATGTGTTTTATAATCTTTGTACTATTCCCATTAAAGTACACTGCGAGCAATTTAAAGCCACAAATTCTCATTTCATTTCAGCTATTCAGTTACAAATATTTTTGGCATGGCATTCAACGAACACTACACTCACGCCTGCACAACGCCAGCGCACCCACTTACCTCTATCGCTTCGATTTTGATTCGAAGCACTTCAATTTTATGCGCATCATTACCTGTGGCCGCAACATACGCGGCACCTGTCATGGCGACGATCTTTCCTACTTATTCTACAATGGCGGCGCCAAGAAACTAAAACAGCGAAGTGCCGAATTTCGCACCATACGCCGGTTGACCACAATGTTAGTACGTTTTGCCGAATGCGGTAATCCCAATATACCAATGAGTGAAGGACATGACCACAGCTACCATTACCATCATCACCATCGGCAACCTGAGCGACCTGAACAAACAGCGCAGCCCATACATAGCAATAAACAAAATGGCAATAATAGTAGCAGCAGCAGCAATGGTGTGCAAACTGCACAGCATACAAAGGATGAGTCAGATCCTGAGCATAACCAGCAACTTAGTAGAGAGAGCAGTTTTGCTGATAGCGTTGTCGATGGCGTCGAGTTAGCATTCGAGGTGAATGCATCTCCGGCACAGCAGCAGCCGGTATGGCAGCCCGTTTCAGGCGACTCGGGCACATACAAATGTTTGAATATCTCCGATGAATTGGAGGTGATAGATCTGCCCGAAGCAGAAAAATTGCGCTTGTGGGATGAACTGTATATAGATAAAACGCTGCTCTATTGAGTTCGTGCACGAGCACATGCGTTAGTAATTGCTCTTTCCAACTTGTTGTGCGGCATACACAACCGCCCGCGCTTTACAGTTGACTCGACGCACTCATTGTGTTCGATGAATGGTAGGTTGTGAAGAGTTAGTCAGCGAATGTTGTAGCGCAGTGTGCGGCGTAATTAAAAGTTGATATTTGGTGTTAGACCTTTAAATGTGATTCAAAGTGCATCTTTAGCATGTGATATTGAAGCATACTAAAATTGTACAATCATTCTTCTTGCACAAAATAGCAGGCTATTCTAGTTTTATATTTGTATGTAGTTATGTAGAATTTAGAAAGTGATTAGTTGTAGAAATGCTGGGGAAACACATTATGGAAAATTAATTTAATAAATATATTCATATTTTATACACAACTCTCGGGCTTTTTTTAAATAAACAAGTGAGTATAATGTTTATATTCAGTTACGAATTATCTTATAAATAATTGGAAAGGTAATGAGCATTAATATTAAAATTAGCAATTATTATGCTTTTAGTTGTGTTGAGATCATCATCATTCAGCGATCATTATTTTATTTATAAAAATGCAAAATTAGCTTAATAAAAATCAACAATAAGGAAATTGTTATAACGTATCACCTAATTTCATAAGAAGAAATGATCGCTATTTACCATAGATATATGTGCAAGCTCTCATGAAATGAAATGAGAATAGTTTTTGTTTTCTAAATATTTCAAATAAAAAATTGGTATTATTAGTAATTAAGAATCACTTTTTTTTAGCAATTAATCCTCTTTTCTGTTAAAGATACCATCGAAGATGTTGATATTCCCTGTCGAAACTTTCGGAATTTAGTGATTAGAATGCATTACTACTCAGCTTTGAAATTGGTTTCCATAGTTTTAGTGTTGGTAGGACCATTACTAGGACCCCGGCACTAACGCTACTAACTACTTGGTTTTTGCGAACGCCTTTTTACTTAATGTTGTTTATTTTATTTTACTTAATTTAATTTTATTTTTATCTAATTTTATTTAATTTTATTCTTTTTATTTCCCTTTTTTATTTGCTCCTAATATAAATTAAGTTTATTTTACTTTTTTTCATTAAATTTAATATGTTATTATATTTTTTTTATTTTATTTTATACAATATTATTTTATAATTATTTTATTTTTCTTGATTTTATTTTCTTTCACCTTATTTGGTATAACTTTATTTAATTTTATGTTATTTGAATTTAGTTAACTTAATTTCAATCAATTTTTTTAATTTTTTTATTTTACTTTATTTTATTTTATATTCATACTCTTATATTATTCTATTTCATTTATTTTATTTTATTAAATATTTTTTTATATTATTTTATTTATATCTATTTTTTCTTGATTTTATTTTCTTTCACCTAATTTGGTATGACTTTATTTAATTTTATGTTATTTGAATTTAGTTAACTTAATTTCAATCAATTTTTTTAATTATTTTTTATTTTACTTTATTTTATTTTATATTATATTATTTCTCTTTATATTACTTAATATTATTTTTATTTATTTTAATTCTTTCACTTATTTAATTTTGTTTTATTGTATAATAATTTAATTTATTGTATTTTAAATTATATCAATTTATTATTTTTGTTTCATTTTATATTATTTTAGCTGGTTTTACTCAATTTAATTTATTTATATTGTGTTACTTTAATTTATTTTATTATATTTTATTGGTTTTTATTTTATTTTATATTGTTTTTTATTAAATATATTATATAATAATAATTTAATTATAATTAAATAATATTTTAAATTATATAATTTAATTTTTAATTATATATAGCATTTTAATATATTGCACATATCCATACACAATGCAAATGAAGATTTCGGTGGTAGATGTCGCCATTGTCGCGTTTGTGTCTTCGGTAAAACTTAGATCATTTAATGGTTGAATTGTAAGCTCAGCTATGTCTGCCTCCGTTTACCTAATATTGCGAGCGAACATGTAAAAATTATTTAGTTTAGAAAACGTTTTTAAGTTCTATTTAGAAATTTTAATTTTTACCCTAGAGAGTGATTCGTTTGTGGTGAGATTTGTTTGATTGGTAAGCAAAAGTAATTGTAAGCCAACTGCATATCTAAAGTTATTACTGATAAATTATTTATGTAATTAAAATGAAACATTTTGCTTCATGGAAGCACTCTACATAACTAAGCACAATTCCACAAAGGTATAAACTATGCCATAGAAATAATCATACAAATAATGTACATACATTCCTTCTACTTAGCAGCATGACCAACCTGTAATGAAAAACTTTCAGCCACGAGTTTTTCTACATATCTGCATACCACCCATAAATTCGTATGTACATTTTCTCTGTTTCTAGAAACACCTTTCACTGCTTGTGACAACAGACCACTCGGAGTATGTTTAGCTATCTGAGTAACTAATCATAGTATTTTAATTATATTCCTTTGTAGCAATAGTTTTTTTTAACATACACAACCTAAAATATTTAATTTCAGAAAAATGAACCTCTATGAAAGTGCAAAGTAACGAATAGTGAATGTGTATTACAGCTTAAGCGCTTCATGTTCTTCTTGTAACTAAAGGGGCTAGCAGTGTATAAAAAAAAGCTACATAGCCAGGAATTAAAAAAAATGTAGGTATTTTGAATTTAATTATGCTACACGCACAAAAAAAACTAAATCAAATTACACTCACTGCACTATGTCTCTCTACGTAATATTTGTAGGGTCTGGAACTTGAGCACATATATGTACAGACATATGTAGCATTGACACACCCAGAAGAAACAATTTCTTCTTCGACAAAATCCAACATTTACTCTTAGATGATGTTTTATTATCTAAAATCAAAAACTTCATACAAGAAGTAGAACCTCAGCGCTCACGCTGAAAAAAATTAAAATGATACTTCGTCTTGAAAAATTATATTATAAATAAAATAAAATAAAATAAAATAAAATAAAATAAAATAAAATAAAATAAAATAAAATAAAATAAAATAAAATAACTTAAAATAAAATAAAATAACTTAAAATAAAATAACTTAAAATGAAATAAAATAAAATAAAATGAAATAAAATAAAATAAAATAAAATAAAATAAAATAAAATAAAATAAAATAAAATAAAATAAAATAAAATAAAATAATATAAAATAAAATAAAAAAAAATAAAATAAAACAAAATATTATATAATCAAATGAAAGAAAATAAAATTAAATAAAAAAAAGAGATAAATTATATAAAAAAAGTAAATTAGAGCAAAAAAAATTTATCAAAATGAAATGAAACAAAATTAAATAAAATATATTAGAACTAAAACAAAATATAAGCTGTTGTAATTTGATTACATAAAAACTTGTCTAAGCCCAGACTGCTTAGTGTTTCCCTAATGTGCAACTGATTCGTTTTATTTTACTTCCGATGGGAGTAGTTGTTGTATTTTTATAGTTTTTTAACGTTTATGTAGGGTTTCCTCGTGGTGTAATTCCGAAAACTAGATATTTAACCGTGTGTTACTAAGTAATGAATGTCATGTATCAAATCCGACTTTACAAATTTCCAGCTGGAAATATTTTTTCGAAATGCACGTAATAATACTTATGAGATTATACTTTTGACATGAAGGGGTAATGCCTTCTCATGAAAAAATTCTTAAGATGCTCGAAACCATTAAATTCGCCCGAAACTATTAATTCTGTGCACTCCGCTGTCTGCTCTCGGGGTAGTTCAACCAACCAGCTCACACTGCATATTGGAGAGTGTTTTAAAACGTATCATAATCTGCATAATTATAAACAATAAAATATTGATTTTTTTTACAAATAAAAAAACGTAAATCTCAAGCAATTCATATCAGTTCAATATTATTATACTAGTTACCTAGTTCGAAAATTCTAATAACCTATGCTACGAATTGTAAATGTTTGTTTCTGCTATAAAGGGGTGCTGAGTAGCTATCCAAAGTACAAAATCAAAATCCATTCCCATTTACAATTTCATTCCGACCTTGCAAATTTCTAGCCGATGACCAAGGGCTAGTTCTGTAGCGTTGTATTATTATATGTATATTTGTATACTCAAAATAAAATAAAATCTGAAATCTTAAGTTAGATTTTGGAGTTTCTTCTCTAATTATATATCTTATTTCTCTTTTTTTATTAAATTTCCAGATTAGGATTAAATGGAAAAAAGGACACTGCGCACCCCAGCATGATAATATCTCCAATCAATGTATTTATTGTTTATTTCCAAGAACGGGGCTATCAACTGACCTAAAAAAACAAATGCACGTGGATATTCTTTGTGACTCATAAACAATCAGTAAAATGTTATCTAGAAGAAAAAAAAAACATAATCACGACTTTCTCTCTGAGAAAAATGTCTCGATTCATGCATGACTTTAATACCGAATGTGTAAAAAATTCAAAAAAAGCTTCAAACGCTGGCCATCCAAGCTTTCAACACTATGTAATGACAATCAGAATGACAGCCAAATTTTGTGATGAAAGAAAGCTCTTGAATGTGTTGGCAATAGACTTGTCACGGATGCCAACAAAAATATACAATGTAAGAGATAACAAAAATTTACTCATATCTACACTGCATATATACGAGTACACATGATATATATTTAAATGTATATACGTAAATTGAAATTGTAATTAGCTAGTGCCACTTGTTTGCTATACGGGCGGAGAGTAGTTCCTTAGACAATCAATCGGCGATGTTTTGGCAACCTAAGCTTCATTTTATGGACTTTATAAAATACATTTCTCAAGGATACTCCTCCGCCCTTTTGTGTATTTGACAGTTTTTGATCTAGCGAAAACATGCTTGGAATCTAAATTTTCTCTATACAATCTAAAAGTAGGGGCCCGCTGCTTGTGGCACTTAGCGTGGGATAAAACTCGTAAAAAGTATGCTCAATATTCAAAATATTTGCTCTTTCTTTCTTTACTCTTTTTATTAAAGAAGCTCATATTTTTGTTAATTAGATTTCTAATATTTATAAATATTCGATATTTTCTTGCTTTATTTTATTTGATTTTATTTGTTTGTTTTTGCATAAATTTCCTCTTGCCAAAATGATTATAATTTACACCCAATCTGCAATGTGCCTACTGCAATATTAATTTACTACGTGACATTTTGAATTTCAACTTAGCACAAAAGCAAGAAAACATGCTCACAGCTTTCAATGAGCACCGTAAGTTCTTATTTGTTGGTAGTGTATTGCGGCACGTACCTCGCTTTCAAAAAAAGTGCAGATATATATTTATATATATAGCAATATATATATATATATATATTTTATTTTCGCTAAATTGATTGCGCACAGCTGCGCGTGGCAATGTGAAAATACAATTACCAATACATAAACTATTATTCACACGTATACACATACAGTGGAGGGCAAAAGTGAGTAGACGGCTACGTGTTTCGCTTTACGGCGTAATTAAAAACTATAAAATAAAGCAAACCCAATACTTAATTTATTAAAAACAACTCCCATACAACCGATTTTTTTATATGAGTGGTTTAAGGTAAAAAATCCGCCAAAAAAATAGCAACTCAAAGCGTGAGACTTGGTCTTAATGACAGGGTTATATATACAAATAAATATTGACAGCGGATAACATTAAAATCGAATTTTGCATTTTGAACTAAAGGTGTAAAGATTCCGGCATGATCGAAGACAGCACTTCTTTCTTGTTTACTGAAAAGAAAATTTATATGGCAAAGGAGCATAAGTGAGAACACGTGAGTTGGGTGCTCTTACTTTATTTTTTCTCAATCTTATAAATGATATACTCGTATAGCAAAATAAAAAAAATAGTTCATTTTCTTTCTCATTCTTCATTTTTATTAGGTCTGAAAAGCGAAACATGCAATCGTCTACTCACTTCTTTCCCACACTGTATAATTTTAATTGTTCAGATTGTATATAAAGACTTTGCAATATACAGCAAAACATGCGGTCACTACTGTTATATATTTGCACATTTGTGAGCTCATTACTCTGCCGAGAGCTTTAAAAACATTTTAGCAAAGCTTCAATTATGCTGCTACTAGCTCTCTTCGTACGAATAAAATAAGCTTCTCATAAAAGCTGCATAAAGCATATGTACGTATGTGCAATAGAGAAGCCATTGGCAAATGTGTATGCATTAGCAAACCAACCGTATTGGTATATATGAAAGTTCACTTCGCTGGATACCGTGTGATTGGCACGGCATGTAGTATCAGAAAGCTTCTTTTACGAATTAAGTGCCGACTGTTTTCTCTCTGTTATTTATTTGCAAAAGTTTCATTTATTTACCTCTCATATTGCCTGTCCCCACTTTGTATTGTCAACAATTCTTGGAAAAAGTGAAAGCAAAGTGTTTTGAGGGTTGGCGCAAATATTGTACATTGAAGGTTCGATCATGTGCTTTTTGATTGCTCATACGCCTGGTATGTTATCATCTATAAATGATTACTAAGACTGTGACAGTTCTGGATAAAAGTTTTTATGTAAAGGCCATATAAGCAAAGAATTTTTGACTGCCATTGTTGCACATGAGGTTTAAGCAACTCCTGGATCCTGGTCTTAGAAAAAGCTTTCTCTGGTTAGCCAACAAAGACTCGTTTGAATAGGTACTGCCAACCAGCTCATCGAAATTTTTATCAAAATTAAGACTGAAATTACCGCCGTGCAATAATTTGGATATGTAGGATAATAACGGAAAAAATATGGATCTTTGCGTAGAAGCGCCAATTAAGCATTGGATTTGTGATGAGAAACGGGCTCAGTCGCTGAGTCTTGTCATTCACTCTGGTATCTGAGCGTCCAGCCACAATACGCATTAAAGCAAAGTTCTTCAACAGAACGCTGATCGCCGCCGACGAATCGGCACATTAAGTTTTCGAAAAAAATGCAAGCACCCAGCTCTGGCCATTCCGGAGGGGAGCTTTGTTTCATCAGAGCAACGTTGGATCACATACAACGACAGTGACACGCTAGAAGCTCCAAGAGCTTGATTAGGAGATTATTATGCATCCATCTTATAGTAAGGAGTGCGTACCAAGGAATTATCATATGTTCTTCACTGTGGCTACAGCCATTCGGAAAGTGAAAATAAAGAAAATTAATTTAAATAAAAAATTCAGCTAAATTTTTTTCCTCAATGGGTAATGTCAAGCCCCCGAGTGTATTTCCGACATGAAAAAAAGGCTCCTCATAAAAACTCTCCTTTTCTTAGAGAAACATCAATACGCAAAACCACAAACTGGAAGGGGAGTTCAGTGGGAAATCGCTTCAGTGGTTACAAAGCCTCAATTATATATATATATATATATATATGTAAAAAAATTGATAAACACCCCTTATGAATTTAATTGCTTATTTAAAATTCTAAAAGCTCAAATTGATATTTCTAGAGTAGTAATATATTCAAATTGTTTGCCGGCTTGAAGTTGTTATAAATAAAAGCAAAAAATTAATTTAAATACTATTAAGGTCGCAAAAGCCATTAATAAGCAGTAAAATAAATAATAATCTGATTAATCTTATGTAATAAAATATAATAATAAGTCACATTTAAGTCACACACCTAAACTAGGAGAACTCTGACACATTATATAAGAATATAACAAGACTGCAGACAAATTTTATATTAACTCCATAAGAAGTGTCTGCTCACGCATGATTACGCTTCAATCAAAATTAAGCTTAGTTAGCACCTATTTAAGAATTAAATTGTTTGTATAACGTCAGCAATGGAAAGAGAAAGAGAGCGCGCATAATTTTATATATAAAATGAAAACCGCAACGAACCGCAAATTTTCAAAACAAACTAAGCCACCAAGACCCATGAGTCCAACCAAAATGAAATAATAATACATTCATACAAATTTACCTATATGACGCACACATGCGCGCATGTCCACGGAAATATTTGAAAACAGCTGATTTTTCGGCATAAATGCAAACATGCAGACAGGCAGGTATATAATGCTCTGCCGGCCAAACCGTCACACCAGCATAAAATGTTTTCAGATAATAGCCAAAAAAAAACGAAATAGAATATTTGTGTGCTTGCGCAAACATATATCAACACATATGTAAAAACAAAACTTTGCTCACACACACACATACATGCACACACACATGCACACCAAGCTAACTGAATATTGAGTTCAACTCAATGAGTTGTATTTATGAATGTATGTATGCATGTAGTCTTCATGCGGCAAGCTGAAAGCATTTGAAATATCAGAACTTTTATAACAGAACTTTTGATTTACGCACACAGTCACAACCACATGTATGCATGTATGTATGTATGTATGCAATCTGCTACATGAATAAGCGACAACAAATATTCGTATTGTGGCATCTGTAGAATTTTGCTCCGGCACAGCCAGTTGACTAGTTGCCATTGCGCTAAACGGTCGCTTTGGTCTTTTCTAATTTACGATTCGGTCGTGAAATCGAGTCACAGCGGCGACGCACACATACATACATATTATACATATAAATGTACATAAGTATGCAGATCAATCGAGTAAATACAACAACTGCTTAGAAAATATGTAATAATCCAACATATTGAACGAAAGATAAATGCCAATAAGCAATTGTATGCCGAAAAAGTGCAAACGCAGAATTGGAGCATAAGTGAAATTATCTGAAAATACGAAATTGTATTGTAGAATATAATAGAAAATAAATTGAACTAAATTGCGTACAAAAAGGAAGTGAAGAATTAGTGAAAATTAGCTGTTTTTTTTTTTTTTTTTTTTTTTTTTTTTTTTTGTATGCAAAATATCATAAAAAGTTGTGGCAATGATTGTTTATAGTGCATGTAATAGGCAAAATTTGTCATTAAAAATCTTTTAAAATCCATAAGGAAACAGTTGAAAACTCAAACTAAAATAAAAATAAATTTTACACTGTTGTTTATAAAAGCATAAATACACATACATATGCGCATATTTTTTTGCTAGGTATACAATTGATAACACTGGCTGAGCTTTTTGTCCTTGCAAGGATATGCGGATGAAAGCTTTGCCTAAGCGAAAAGTTTATTACGATGTCATATCACAAAGACATATACATAGGGATATGTAAACATTGAAATGGGGTATACATATGTATATTTTATATAAAATGTTGCATGTAAAAATATATAGCTATGTACAGTTCTATATACCTCTTAAATACAATTGCGGTTTTTAAATATTTAATTTTTTCCAATAATAAACAGTACAAAAAGCAGATATAAGAATAGACAATAAATAAAAAGTAACGGTAACTCAATTAAATAACTAAAAAATTAGCCAAGAAATAAAACATTAGAGGAAAAATCATTAAGCTAAGTGAAATCATCTTAAAACAAAAAATAAAAAATAATTAAAATATATTTAGAACTAGCGAAATCGCGCATTTGCTGAAAATACAGGAAAATTTCAATTCGATGAAAAAATTTGACAAAGAAAAACCAACACCGGCTTCATGCAGCACGTTGTACAACTAAAAAGAATATAAAACATAATAAAATTATCTATACTTAAAAATTAAATATTAAAAATATTTGCTCTGAACTTTCAATTGATTTGATCATATAAAAACTAATAATTTCAATTATTATAAATAAAAAATTTTATGCCCACATTTTAATATTTTTACATACAAGTGTCCAATATAATTCAATTAAACTCGTTCATATATACATTTGTATGTATATTTATTGTGAATAAAAGAAATTATTTCCTTTAAATTTTTAGTGTTTACCGAGTGATACAGATGATTTCATCAACCTATTGATATGATACTTTTTGTAAATCAGTACAATAATTTAAGATTATGGTGATTTTTATAATTAAACATTTCCAGTAAAACAACATTACCGTATGTTTATTGTAAGCAGCAAAAAAAAGTTATAGTGTCAAATTTTGAAATTGAATCAAGGCAGAATTCCAGAAAAAATATCAACTAAAATAAACAAACAAAATGGCAGCCGTACAAACTATCGATCAAATTAAGCTGGGCTTTAAGTAAGTAAACACTTTTGATTCACCATGTATTAGATGTGTTCAAAATATAAAAAAAAATTTTTAGATCAATGAAATGAATTTTATCACAATGCAATGCTCAACCCTAAGTACCACCTCCGAAGCCCAGACACACATAAAGGCTCGGATGTTCTAATGTTATTTTGTCGCTGATGCCTTATGTATATATGTATGTACATATTAAGAATAATAAAATAAAATGCTTCTTCAATGTTGTGAATACATTACGCATCTTGCAAATAGAAGTTTGCGTAAACATACTTGCGTATTAGCAATAAATGTAGCATGATACAAAAAAAAATATTTTTTGATATTTTTTATAGATGCTCTGTTGTTACTTTTGAATGTATACCTGCCTTTCTAGGAACTTCACGTATAAAAAAGAAATGCAAGCTCCTTTATACTGGCAGGCATACACAGCTGATTATTCATGCATCTTACATCGATGTTGTATGCATCCAATTTCTACTGTAAAACTTTTAATATACATTCATATGTGTGCTACAACGAAAATTGGTATTTTTTAAGTTCAATCTTCGATAATGCAGTTTGACTAAATATAAGAAAAACTTTTTTAAGGCTGGACCAGTTTTTACTCACGAATTTGAAAATAGTTTTAGTATGATTTAAAATGATTTATTAAGCTATTAATTAATTAACAAAATTAGCTCTCTGCATATAAACCTAGTTGAAGAGCTATTTATGTTCCAAATTACACTTTTTTAAGTACTATAAATTCCTTTTTCGAACAGTCGTTCAGTTTACAGGAAACAGGCATAATTTAATACTATTTCTCTCGAATTTCATTAAATTTTTTTAAGCAATTAATTCGGAAACTCCATTTGTAATGGACATCTATCTTATAGAGGACAGTATGATTTACATGACAAAAAGTATTTAAAGAAAAAATTATATAGATTTACTTGACTGAAAGCATTGAAAGGGAAAATTATATAGAGTTGTCCGTTTTGTGATTTCAAAAGTAACTGTCAGGCATTTATGATAATTGATTGATTAACAACCGCACAACGCGTTAAAATTTATCGTAATCTCTAATCTCGGCGATTTTAAATGACCATCAAAACCGTGTGATTTGACACCGTTAGATCTTTTTTTTGTGGCGTCAAGCAAAATACCTAGTTTATGCAGATTATTCTTTAACTTTTGAGCGCTAGAAAACCAGTATTTGTCAAGTTATGGTTGAGATACCGCCCAATGTGTATCAAAAAGTGGTCGAAAATTAAGTCAAAGGGTTTGAAGTTTGTGAAAATTCGGCAAGCGAACATTCGAAGGGTGTAGTGTTTCACATACAACCCCAAGGTTCAAATTTTTATAATATAAAAATAAAATCATAAAATCAAATTATTTTAAGTACCTTTTTTCACATTTATTTTCGAAATAATTAAAATTCGAATATATATCATTGAAAGAGACCTTTTCAAAATCATTCTTTTCCTCTTAACGTAATGCAAAAATATTGGTGTGTCAAATCAAATACAATTTACATAAAAATAATTGAATAAAGGCTGTAACCTCAGTGATTTTAAGATTTTATATTACCATATTCTTATCTCTCCAACAATTTCTCATTTGTTTCTGTTTTGGTAACATTTTTTCAATATTATATATTCATTTGTCAACAAAACTATTTTTAATTTTCTTTCGAGGATTTTCATACTCAAGGCTGCCAAATTGATGAGGTGATATTTGCACATCCATATGTACATATGTACATACTCGCACATACTGTACATATGTACTTCAGTCCACACTGCTTACATTTTATACTTTTGGTTATCACATCGGCTGACTAATTACTGAATAAATGTTCTTTAATGACTTTCTATTATTGCGATGAAAACAATGGATGATTTGGGTAAAAATTTAGATATTTTAATAACAATTCAATATTACAGTTGGCAGAAAACCTTACTTGCGTTCTTCTTAAATTCTAATATTGCTCTAATATTCTGACAACTTTCAATAGCCAAATATATATTAACGTTTATATAAAATTGGCGCATTGTAACCACTGAAACGATTTTTGTGTTTCCAACAAATGCAGCTACCTACAACTTAGAAAGCTTGTCATGCCCTGGTAAGAGGCTGCTTTCACAATTAGAAATATTAATTTTCCATAACATTTCGAATGCTGGTTGGACCAGGACTTAAGCCCGGGCCTTCCGAATGTTTATGTGCAATGGTATCTAATCACTCAGCTATCGAGCCGAGACAAATGCGGTATGTGAAATCAATGGAGGAGGGGACCTTAATATCACTAAAAGGCTTGTTTTGCAAAAAATTGAAACTACGTGAGAATCATGAAGATTCGTTTTCGTATGGATATTCAGCACAGAGTTAGTAACTTTATCTTTGCATTCATTAATTTCAAGACTTCATCTAGCGGAGAGTGGATGCATAAAACAAAGGATTAATCCATGGGGGATATGAACTTTTCCGCGAGTGCGTTAAATGTTTCCTTGTTGAGTATTCAAAAATATTATTATTGTGCTTCTAGAATTCGGTTTTAAAGGAATTAAATGTAGTACTGCTGGACTAGCTTCGAAGGAATTCAGTTTTTGTGAACTTTATCGCGTTAAAATCGCTATAGACATAGCAGAAAATCAATCCCGAGTGATATCTATAAAATAGTTTTTAATTAATTATTTGGCTTAAAAATTTGTTACTCAAAGCAAAAAGTGGTCTCTTCCAACTTAGCCGTAATAGGAAAAACCATGCCTAAGTCGATCAAAAGTCAAAGTAATTTTTACAGATTTTTTTTTTTTGATTATCAAGCGACGTTGGACCTCTTGCATTAAAAAAGCGAAAAGGAAAAAGCAAGAAAAGGAGTAAGAAGAAAACTTCTGTATGTTGCACCATAAAAGGACAACCTCATAAGCAGAGGGGAATCAAACTGGTGGAAATATTGAAAAATTAAGACAACTGTATTCAATTAATGTTTGAAAAGATTTAATACCAAGCATTTGATTTTTTCTCCTTTTCATTTTATTTAATTATCATTATTATTTTTTTCAATTAATATATAATAAAAATTTTCCAATCTTCAGAAATCTTTAAGGGGACATGCGGCTTTCACAAAGCTATCATTGTTAATAAATTTGGCTAAAATCTCAACAAATACCATCGAGTATCCAACACATTCACTTGAAATGGTTCGACCAAACGGTAAATTGCAAATAAAAAATCAGTTAATTGCTTCTCCCTTCTCCCGTATTTTTAATAAAGATTTATGAACAGACCTAATACGCGCAAGGCAAAGTAAAATATTTATCACTGCACATTCTGGAAATTTTTGGACTATTTACTGTCCAATTGAAGAAATTTATTCATTTTTCAAGTTTATTGAATTCATGTGTATTTCATTATAATTTCAAATTCTAAAAGGTTTTCCTTTCATTGTTTTTTTTTTGCAAACACAAAAATTAAGTCAGAATTGATTTAAAAAAAGAAAGAGATCATGCTTTATTTTTAGGTATATTTCAATTGAATCTTTTCAATAAACTCAATTTATTTTCAATTTAATTTATATAATTTTTTTTTAGCTTTTATCAATTTACTCGTACATATAATTGACTCAATTTAAATACTAAATAATATTTTAGAACTCAATTATTCGGAAAAAGTTTCAATTTCAATGGAAATAAGAGTAGATGATGTTTTCATAATGCTTTAAAATTCATACAGCTATACCCAAGTGGTTACAAGTCGTAGTGTTGAAATACACAAAACTAAATTAACTTTTAGATATTAACATTTCGTACGTATTTCTATTAACTGTGGGGAATGATCTCACTTTAACTGCCGTAAGCTTCAACAAAAGAATTACATAGTGTCGCCTTCAAGCAGCGTTAAGTAATGGGAATGTACAATAAAAAAAGCTAATGAGTGAACTCATAAATACGAGTTACATTTGTAGTGACATATGTACATATGTATGTAAATTACTAAGTAATACTTAACTAACTAGACATGCCTAAATGAACTTTTAACGGTTTTATGTAGAATTTCAGTAAATAAAATTTCTTCAGAATAGTGAATTTATGAACAATATAAAAAATATATGAAAATTAAAATATTTAATTGAATATTTCTTCGGATATAGACATAGGTATTTTCAAATGCAAATAATATACTAATACATATATATATATATATCAACATATAAATACATACATATATGTATGTAGTATATCAACATATGTATGTATATAGTATATCTTATATATATTAGATATTCCACCCTAACCACACAAAATCCACTTTCAGTAACCTTTGTCACCCGAAAGCTTTCAAAGTATGTTTCTCTGTGTGCGCGAAGATGTCTGCAACGAACATAAAAGAGCTTTTTATCTCATTCAACATCCATGCTCAATACTGCTGAAAATAAGTAGCCCGATTTACGGCCTCTTTCTAACTACCCTCTATTTAATTTTCGCTAATTTATAAATATGAATGAATGCCATTTAAATCTTACTCTGCTCTGCATTGGCTTGAAAGGATATGAAAACCAAATCAAAGCTTTAAAGCGAGAGCTTTGAAGAAAATATATATAATAAAATTAAAAATAATATAAGGACCCAGTCAGATAATCCTAAAAGGAAAAATTCTTTAAAAATATAGATTTTTAAATAAAAAAATATTAATTATTCGATATTAAATGCAAAAACTCTTGGAAACTGACAAATTGGATAGAAAAACAATTCAAAAGGCAACCGATGCATAGTACTATGTGAAGCAGCATCTGACAGCTGACAGCGAAATACTTGCTCTCACATATTAATCTGTAAATTCACAAAATTTAACTACAATAGTACATTGTAGTTGGTTGAGAGTTATCGAATCGCACTACAGATTGGGCAAATTGAGAAAATTATGTATGTATGTGCATGCAATAAGTTTATGTTTGTATGCAGTACGCACGTGCGGCCGCTAAGGCACCTCTCTCTCTCTCTCCGTTCACT